AGTTATGTGTGGTGTTAAAGAAAACTCGGAATCAATATATAAGCTTATATTCATACAAAGCTTAAAATGTCTTCTAAACAATACATCCTTCTATAAGGGATAACAAGTTTGTACTGTTCAACAATTGTAACTTACCCATTAACAGTAACTAAAGTCTGTCTGAGGCCAAGTTTTCTGAACATTTCTACGACTGTCTCCATGGGAGTTTGGTCTGTTATTGTAACAGGAGCCTGAAAAACACAAATGAGTTTGAACCAAAAAAATAGCATCCAGATTTCATGACTATTTCAACTTCTACTTTCTTATCAGTATCAATTAAAGTAATTTTTCATTAAGTCTTAAATAAATTAAGTCATTAAACTTACCAGATCTAATATTTTTCGGAGTTTTAAAGGAGCAGGTCCTACTGTATTACTGGGGATCTGATTAGAGAAGTAAACTATTGAATCACTGACCACGCCCTCCACGTTCTTACGTGCATTTGCTGAAAAGAAGTTACATAACAGATATTGAGTGTCAAGTATTTATAAAAAATTTAAAGTATTATACTTGTGTATATAGTAGTTTCAATTTGATGTATCACATCACACGTTACAAATACAAATTGTGATAATTTCAATAGATCATACCAAAGTTTAAAATACACCAAAAGGCCCCTATCACAAGTCTGAAGCATCATTATGTTGAGCTTTAAACAATATCATGATTTAGAATAGTGAGGAGACATACTAAATTTAAAAAAACCTGTGTCAGAATAATCATACAGTTTCACTTTAGATAGTTTTTTTTTTTTACAACGAGTCAGCGATACACTGAAGTGTATCAGATTTCAATGTACAGTTTCATTTATAAACCTGTTGCTGGGAGTATAACATATGTATACATGTTTAAAGGTCAAATCGTTTCAGCTAGCAAATATGCGCGTTTTGAGAGAGATTTTACATCAGTAAGAAGAGACATGCTGATAGCGTGTAGCGGTTATTTTTTTATTGGGAAGAGAATTTTGTTGTTTTGAAGAGAATTTTGTTGTTTTGAAGTCAGTTTTGTTGGTTTGTTGAAGTGGTTGAATATAATTGTGGTGATCTTAATTGATCAGGGTTTATTGGTTGTAATTAGTTGTTTTGGTTGTTGAGTTATATCTATTTGTGAAGATATAATTGGTTGATATTGGTTGAATGTTTGGTATTGTCAAGATTTGTTAGTTGCTGCTTTGTTTTGAGGATATATGTAAATATTGGGTGCTTTAGTTTGCTTTTCTGATGCTGATTAGATTGTGTGAAGTTAATATTGTTGGATGAATGTTTGTGGTTTATACTGTATCTTAGAGTTGTAAAAATAATCATTTTTGTGTTCTTCATTTTGTGGTGATTTTTTTTGTTTTGTTTGATCATAAGTTGTTTAGAGCTTGGGCTCGCCAGGTGTCTAGTATTGTTTCGTATAAAAGACGTATACGTGAAAAGATATTTCGTATAAGTGGCTGATAAATGATGTGTGTTTGTTTTGGGTGAAAATAATGATCAGAGTTCTTTGTTTTGGGTGTAAATAATAGTCGGAGTTTGTTGATTAAATGTATATATTGATTTGAGATAGAAAAAGATAAAAATACCTAAAAAAATAGTGTTAACTAAACAATTACATGCTAGTTTACCAACTGAGAATATTTCACTTTTATGTCAGGCGGTGCTGCCCAGCCTCCATATCATGAAAATTGGTTCTAGTATTTATTACTAAATCTTTTCTTAGATTAAATAACATCAAGGCAGACATTTCTCCTGACAACCTGACAGTGATTTTAACAAAGTTGGTATGATTAAAAATCGATTGAAATAAAAAAAACAATTAAAAGTTTATTACGAGGGATGTCCGGAAAGTTCATATACTTCTTCATTTTTTATTATATAACAATACATACATTGTACAAATTTTGTCAGCAAAAATATACATATCAAGCGAACACATTTATAAAAAATTACTGAGTTGTGACTTACGTTTGTATTTTTACAGCATTTACATACAACATATAGACATCGTCATGGAGCACTTTGACAACGTCAACGGCGTCAATTTAATTTCATGTTTATCCACAATTCAATTTCTTCCGATTTAAACAGCCACGGAACCTGCCTGGCGTATGCTTTATACATGTTATGTTCCCTTGCTATTACTTTATGAATTTCATATACTACATTTAAAAAAAAACAACAAAGGTGTCACTGGTTCCCATACAGTGTGTGAAATGTCTGTCTTTTTCAAAGATTGTTGTAACGCAATCTACGACATTTCGGCCATGCTACTTTTGGTCGTCTGATACGTTTCTTATACAAAATACTGTCATCACCGTTTCTTAATCGTGTTTGACAATTAAACACAAGTTGTCCTTAACAAGTTATGGTTGTTTTTGTTTTTCAAGTAAAGATTATAATCATTTTTAGCGTTACTTTGAAGTTAAATAACATTACGTTGCTCCGTCCTTGCATTTGACGTCATTTTTGCGACACAAAACTAATGCAACTTCATTGCCTATAATCGTCGTTAACAAGTTGTTTCTTTGCGTATGATGTCGAAATTTTCACTAAATATCACGCAATAGTACCCTTTGATGTCACAACATTAAAACAAGAGTTTGCGTTAAAATTACAACATTTAGCCACTTTTTATTCGAGTAGCTATTGCCATGAAATCAAAGTGCTCCGTGAATCGTTGATCATGTTGCCATGGTGATTGGCGATTTGCGAATATAACTTTTATCATGTTTTTTAATTTAGAAATTTGTAGCAGAATTAATACTTAAGCAAAATATTTAATCATCATATAAATAGGACTGCTTATAATAATTTTATAGCCTTGTCTACGAACTTTCCGGACAGCCCTCGTATTTACCTATAGCTAACTGTAGATCTCTTCTGGTTACAAAGCCCACTAGATATTGGGAATCAAGGGAGACCACCACAGGGAAACCATTGTGTTCTGTCTCCTTCAACAATGTTTCTGAAAACAGAGAAACTTTATAGCAATAGGCACAACTAGAATTTTGTCTTTTTTCCGTTTTAATTTGAAAAATTCTAGTCTACAAACTTGTTTTTTACCATTGTAGTTCTACCAAACATTTTTAAACATTTTATTCATCTTTTAACAAATATCTAAAAAAAGTGATCCCTCGGAAGCATTAAAAACAGCAAAATTATATGTAAATTGCAGACTTGGACTGATAAAGTCTGTACATGACAAATATAATGAAAAAGTGTAACATCTCCCAAATCCCCTAGCACAAGCTTGAGCGTACTCAAGATTATGATTAAGCAAAATTTTCTTGCAAAGGTATTAGTCAAGTGTTGTCTGACTGCTTCTGACCAATCAGCTACATTAAATGATTTATAATACAAAAAGCCCGATTGCCGACTACAGCAATGTTTGAGTGAACAGCCTAGCCTGGCTATTACTTAATGACTGTAAAGTCAAGTCATCATAGCTGCAATAACTTACCTATTTCTTCTAGAGACATGCTCTCCTGTGTTATAACACACAGTGGTGGGTCATTTCGTCTGAAAAAATTCAAAACTAGATGTATATATGAATCTTAAGATGCAAGGAATGTAAATTAACTTATAACCAGAGGGCAACAAGTAAATTACTTTGTCCGTGAACATAAACACAAAATAACTAATTTGTAAAGCATTATATTTCCCATTCACACATCCAGATAACCTAGTAAGTAGCCACCCTTAATCAGTTATCAACAATTATTCCAATATTTAAAACATAGCAAAAAACTTGAAAGTACAATACAATTCCTTACACATAATAGGCCATATACGTTCCCATTTTCAACCAACATTAAGTGGTTTGTACCTGCTCTAACCCCTATACTGTGTCGATGTGACATAAAACCCAAAACAAACAAACAAACCTGCTCTAACCCATCCATTCATCAAAAAAAATTATACTCAGAACTTTGCATAAAATATAGCATATTTTAAGCACTAACCATACTAAAAGGTTTTTATCTAGCAACCATAACTTTTGAAGAAATCATGTGACTTAAAGTCATGTTTTTGGTCTAAATGAAAACAATTTTGCCAGCATAATTGGGATTTCAATAAAATCACAGGGTCAACATGTTTTTATCATGTTTACAAAGCACTTCATTCAACATTATGTAACATGTTTATTCTTCATTGAGAAAGTTCAAAGGTCAAGCTTTCTTTTCTAAATGTTTTTCTAAATGCATGTACGTCCTTTTTGCCTAGCTACTGGGTCTGAAACTAGATGACCCATGTATACATATCACTATATCATACAAACATAGCCTTAAACTACAGAAAGCTTAACTCTATAAATGTCAGAATCATATAGAATTAAATAACAAGCAACAAAACAAATGCTGTAACAATTGTGTCAAAATAATAATAACATGTTTTTACTAACTTAACATAATGCAATAAAATAAATGTAAGCATAAAATGGTGAGAATAAAATGAACATGAGTAAAATACAAGCAGTTCATCTATGATGTCTATAATGTAAGTAGCTACAACTTAGACTTAAGTTAAAAAATACAAATTACAAATGTATTTTTTTCATGATAACATGTACTATATGACTTGATCCCATCATATAACAATGAGAGAATATTATCCATAATATCTCAACTGGAAAAGGTGCAAGCATAATAATTCTATATTTTATTTTGATGATGCATACAATTAGGGCAATGGTACACCTTTGAGAGCATATTTCCCCATACATCATAACCATAATTGAACTAGCTATACAATTGTTAATACAAAATCTGAAGCAGGTAAAAAAAAAATGCAGTCTATAAAAACAAATCAATTTTCTAGGCATCATAATCATCAATATCTAAAAACAATGCTGCATTCCATGCAGATAGATTCAGTCAGCATTTAACCCTTTTAAATAGTCCCTGTGTTAATCAAAAAGACTTGCCTATACCATCACTTCAAACAATGGAAGACTGTACTAAGTCTGACAATCCTGGCAGTCTGACCTAAGTCTCATAATGTACATGTACATGTAGGCTTTTGGATTTTATAATATTAGCATTTTGATATTGGCTCCCATTCAATGAACAATGAATAGTTTCTAATTCAATGTAAGGCAAATCTATTTTTGAAATCAGGTAAGGTAAGGGTTAAACACTGTTATGTTGAACATAATCATGATTTTTTTGTTAGGTAAACTACAGAAAAGCATGCTTAACTCTTGTATTGTATTGTTTGGTTTTATTAACCTGTCAATTACATACTGATTACACGGTCGATGCACACAGTATATTAATCTTCGGTAGATGGTCGGTAAGTTCCGTGAGATGTACGCTGTACTTAATTTCTGGACCTTGCAAAGATAGCCATACAGACTGACTAAATCACTGGACCTTGCCAAGTTATTCTGTATGGCTATCTTTGCAAGGTCCAGAAATTAAGTTATTCTGTATGGCTATCTTTGCCAGGTCCATTCAGTAAGGCTATCTTTGCCAGGTCTAGTGATTAAGCCATTATGTATGGCTATTCTGTATGGGTATCTTTGCCAGGACTTGTGATCAAGTCATTCTGTATGGGTATCTTTGCCAGGTTTGATGATTTAGTCATTCTGTTTGATTTGCCAGGTGCAGTGATTAAGTCATTCTGTATGGCTATGTATTCAAGTCCATTTATTCTATATGGCTGTAATAATTCAATGGTCATTTTATGGTTATGTCATTTATAGTCAGGCCCAGTGTTTACGACTGATATAGATAGACCCAAATAATGTACATTTACATTATATTATAAAAACAACTAAAATAACATATGTGCAAGTAAAAAGCATGCTATTATTTGTCATTTATGCACTACTTCTTCAAGCATAACTTCTTGTTTGATTAATAACATGCGGCCAAGCTTTTAAATATATAATGGTCAATGACAAGAAGTCTGTTGAAAAGTGATCATGACAATGTTCAACAAAAACCCAAAGTATTAAAACACAGCAAAGTTGCTATAAACACAACAAAGTGACATTCACAACTAACTTACACTTCGAGACCATAGCGCCAACATCTTTACAATGAAAACAGTGCAATATATACATAACAGATCTTTGGTTTTTCAACAAATATTATTTTGATTTCCTACTTAATGATTTAAACATATTTATTTTTTAAAATTTGATACACAAAATTATATTTATGGTACAAATAAAAAGTTTCATCAAACCTAATTATCTATTAACAGTTTACTTTTGATGGCCCCAAAAAATGATCAAAAATGGATGTTGAAAAAGTCCATGGTAGAAATTAAGGTGGAACAAGGGTGCCATAGTCACAAAATACGCCCGTTTACGAAAGCTTTAGATGGAGATGGGGGCATTATGGATAAGTGTTATCTCCATTATGGATAAGTGTTATCTAGCAAGCAAGTTTTTATTCTTGGCACTGTGTTGTTAAATGAACCTTAAAACAAATCAGTAGGGAAGATATGTACAGGATGTGTGACCTTGACCTTGGTCGCAGGGACCTGAATTTTATGCACGGCACTCAGCCTCACAATGATGAACATTTGTGCCAAATTATATTGAAATCCCTCTATGCATGTGGAAGTTTTGCTCCAGACAAGCGTTTCTCTATGAGCTCTAACTGTGACCTTCACCTTTGACCTAGAGACTTGGTTCATGTGCAGGGCACTACGTCTCATGGTGGTGAACAATTCTATAAAGTAACATTAAAATTCCTCCATGCATGTAGAAAATATGCTCCGGACAACATCTGGATATTTAATCATCTCCAGTGACCTTGACCTTGCAAATATTAACCTAAAATTAAATGTGTCACACCTGTAGTCATGATAGTTACCATTTGTGTGCTACAATCCATCAATAAATGATGACTAAATGGTCCCTATACACATCTTCAAATTTTTATCTGAACTTTGACCTCTATGTGTAACCTTGACTTTGGTCGCAGGGATCTGAATTTTGCGTGCGACACTCAGCCTCACAATGGTGAACATTTGTGCCAAGTTATATTGAAATCCCCCTATGAATTTAGAAGTTTTGCTCCGGACAAGTGTTTTTCAATGAGCTCTAAGTATGACCTTGACCTTTGACCTGGATCATGCATGGAGCAATACATATCATGGTGGTGAACATTTCCATAAAGTATTATAAAAATTCTTCCATACATGTCGGAGATATGCTCCAGACAAAATCTGGATATTTCACCATCTTTAGTGACCTTGACCTTGCATATATTGACCTAAAGAACATGTGTCACAGCCGTAGTCATGATAATGACCATTTGTGTTACAATCCCTCAATAAATGATGATTAAATCGTCCCTATACACATCTTCATATTTTTATCTAAACTTTGACCTCTATGTGTGACCTTGACCTTGGCTGCAGGGACCTGAATTTTGTGCGCGGGACACTCCGCCTCACAATGGTGAACATTTGTGCCAAGTTATATTGAAATCCCTCTATGCATGTGGAAGTTTTGCTCCGGACAAGCGTTTTTCAATGAGCTCTAAGTGTGACCTTGAACTTTAACCGAGAGACCTAGTTCATGTGCGTGACATGGCTTCTCATAATGGTGAACATTTCTATGAAATTTCATTAAAATCCCTCCATGCGTGTAGGAGATATGCTCCAGACAAAATCTGGATATTTCATCATCTTTAGTGACCTTGGCCTTGTATATATTGACCTAAATTATATGTATCACAGCCATAGTCTTGATAATGACCATTTGTGTTACAATCCCTCAATAAATGATGACTAAATGGTCCATATACACATCTTCATATTTTTATCTGAACTTTGACCTCTATGTGTGACCTTGACCTTGGCCGCAAGGACCTGAATCTTGCGCGGGACACTCCGCCTCACAATGGTGAACATTTGTGCCAAGTAATATTGAAATCCCTCTATACATGTGGAAGTTTTGCCCCAGACAAGCATTTTTCAATGAGTGTGACCTTGACCTTTGACCTAGAGACCTGGTTCATGTGCTCGACACTGCTCCTCATAGTGGTGAACATTTCTATGAAGTTTCATTAAAATCCCTCCATACATGTTGGAGAAATGCTCCGGACAAAATTGGACGCCGCCCGCCAGGGGCTTTCCCGTTTTTCAAACGGGCGTATAAAAAGGTAAAGCAAGTTTATCAAGTTATCAAACTAAATCAAAATATAGCTATCAAATTCTCATAACTTTTAAAGTTGCTTTTTGCAAATGTAATATGGAAAGGAAACAACATACATACACATTGTGCATAATTCCTTAATAAAAATCCTTAAAATTCCAATCAACCAATGGAATGTGAAAATTTTCAACTGGTTGCTAAAACAAGAGGGCCAAGATGGCCCTAGATCACTCACCCAGGGTGTCCGTTTGACCCTTGACATGACCCTTTGACCCTTCAAATTTCCAATAAGCCTGATTTGACCCTCAGAATTTTAACTGGAGGGTCAAATATTGTTAAAATCAAGGGGATTTTGCCTTGTAGTCGGTAAAACTTAGTCAAAATGACAGAATTTCATGGCTAGTGAACACCCTGTCACCTGAACCATCAAACTCATCCGAGCAATTACTTAGACAAGCATCCTGATCAAGTTTGATGACAATTGATCAAAAAATGTGACCACAATAGCTTAAACAAGATTTTCCATATTTGGGCAGGGTGACCTAGTTTTTGACCCCAGGCGACCCATATTCATACTTGACCTAAAAATCATCAAAATAAACTTGCAGACCGATTTCCAGGCTATTTGGATAAAAACAGTAGCCACTAGAGTATTAACAAGATTTTTCTTTTTGTTTTAGTTCCTATGACCTAGTTACTCATCCAAGATTACCCATGTTCGAACTCATCCGACAATTACCTAGACAAGCATCCTGACAAAATTTGATGATGATTAAGTCAAAAATGTGACCACTAGAGTGTTAACGAACAAATGTGGACAGACGGCAGACGATGGAAGACGGACGACATTCGACGGACATTCAATGGTCCTTAAAGCACACCCTGAGCTAGCTCAGGGGAGCTAAAAAACAACAGTTTTATACTTTTTGTAAGAGGTTACTTAAGTAGTATGGGTGCCATTTTTATTAGTAAATATGGTATTAACGAATTACAAATGATTCAAATTAGCAAAATTTTTCACTTCAATCTAGCACACAACTTTACCTTCTGTTCTTTAGTAATCTATATTTGTAATTATATACTTAAATGACAGAATCCATAATACCGGTAAATATACATTTTATAATTAATATGAATTTAAAATGAATTTCTGCCATAAACTTCTAATTTCTGGTAGTAAGTTAAGGACCACATTTGAAGCATAATTTATTAGTTATTAAATCTTATAAGTATGGTGCATATAAAAAAAAGGTTACAGAAAAAAATACAACATAAAACTCCAAATCCACATGTATCTTTAAATAAAAGTATTATATCATTATACTTTATAATAACTATTTTTGTTGGGTTTCTAACTTGACAGGTGGAAGAAGACCTTAGTTGGCCTTCTGTGCTTTTAATTCTGGCATGAGCGGGCACCTGAGTAGAATCACCGATGTTCTGTATACAAGCTGGATAGCTTCCTCACGTGAAAGAATCCAAAGACCCAAAGGCAGTATTTGAGCAGTGAGGGGCAAATAGTCCTTAACTAATTAGCCACAGATTTTATTCAAATAAATTATCATAAAGTTCAGAAGACTTTATAGATTACCATACACAAATAAGTAAAATAAAAAAATCTCTGCCAAAAGAAAAACTTGAAGAACATGATATTATATTCTACAATCTTTTAAAGTTTAAGAGTACAGGTATGTACCTTGGAACAAAAACAACCAAATGCTTGCTTTCAAGATTTTTTCTGAAAATAAATTCTATTTTGGAGGCATGCAGTTTTAAAACATACATGTATAAGGTGGTAAAATACACTGAAATTTTCACAAAACTGATGACCAATGTATTATTATGTAACAGGTATTCCATAATCAAACACAAGATATAAAATACAGCATTTATCGTGTTAGGTTTTAGAAATATAAAATTACCTTGGACGCATGACGTCTGCTGCTATTGTAGTATGAGTAAACTCCTCTTTGTTGTCCAGATATGGATAACCATTTAATCGAATATGTGCGTCATAGCTATATCATGTGGTCAAGGACAAATTTTTGCAAATTACATAAAAGATAATATAGAAACAAGAACGTGTTTGTTAAACACAAATGCCCCCGGCTCAGATTCTTGTCAGTAGCAATATTTCAAAAAATGTTTACCCATTCACTAAGTAATGGACAGAAAAATTGCAAAAAATTGTAAACAAAAGTTATATAGCTTGACAAAGTCATGGCATTTTGTAAATATGAAAAATATAAGTTGCCAAGTCATTGCTCTGACTTGTGAAGTTGAAAAATATTCAACTTCTTGCAAGTTATCTTCCTACCAAATATGAAATACATCTGTCATTAAATAAAGGCTGTATGGGCAAAAAAGTAAAAATCTATTTTGAGCACTGGTGACCTAAACCAAACTGACCCCTAACTCTATCCAAAAGAAGAATACAATGTAAGTTATCTTCCTACCAAATATGAAATACATCTGTCAATAAATAAAGGCTGTATGGGCAAAAGTGTAAAAATCTATTTTTAGCACTGGTGACCTTAACCAAACTGACCCCTAACTCTATCCAAAAGAAGAATACCATGTAAGTTATCTTCCTACCAAATATGAAATACATCAGTCAATAAATAAAGGCTGTATTGGCAAAAGTGTAAAAATCTATTTTTAGCACTGGTGACCTTGACCAAACTGACCCCTTACTCCATCAAAAGGAAGAATATCATGCAAGTTATCTTCCTACCAAATATGAAATACATCTGTCAATAAATAAAAGCTGTATGGGCAAAAGTGTAAAAATCTATTTAATCTATTTTTAGCACAAGTGAACTTGACCCACTGATCCCTACCCCAATCAAAAGGATGAACACCATGCAAGTTATCTTCCTACCAAATATTAAATATATCTGTCACTTAATAAAGGCTGTATGAGCAAATGTGTAAAAATCTATTTTTAGCACTGGTGACCTTGACCCAACTGACCACTAACTCCATCAAAGTTTATGTTTCTATCAATTATAAATAACATCTGTCTATAGAATAAGGTCAATACACCTGTAAAAATGTAAAAATCTATTTTTAACATTGGTGACCTTGACATTGTTAACATTGACCTTGACCCAAATGACCCCTTACTACACCCAAAGAAGGAGGATTGTATTAAACTAAGACATCACATAAAATATAAAGGCTGTATGAGCAAAAATGTTTATATTTATTTTTTAAACCAGTGACCTTGACCTTGACCCTAGAGACCGCTTACTCCACAAAAAATTAGAGGACCATCAAAGGTATCCACCTACTAAATATGAAAGATATCATTAAAGAAATTAAGCAATTAGGAGAAATTAAAGATAAATCCAACTTGCCGAAATAGGTTATTAAAAGTGAAAAAATGGAAATAACTGGGAAATATGGATGACACAGTTATATAACTTGGCAATATCATGTACTTTGTATTGATAAGTAAGTGTGGAAATTATAAAGCCATTAGTATAGATAGAACTTAAGATATTTCCAACTTGCCGTTTTAGGTTAACCATTATTCATTTTCTAAGTGCTGAAAAGGGCAAAAACTTGGTAAATATGAAAGCCAGAGTTATGTAACTTGCCCAGATCATGTACTTTGTATTGATTAGTAAGTGTGTAAACTTAGAAGCCATTGGTACAGGTAGAACTTAATAAAAATATTTACAGTGGAATTGCATTTGATGCCGAGTATAAAGAAATATATAACTTTCAGAGCAAAGTATGATCTAAATCACAATGTCTCCATTAGAGGTCTTTCAGTTGTACAAGTGATAGTTTCCAGTTGTAGCATTTGGCATATTGCCAAGTTTTATATTGTTCTTTTAATACATTGTCTTGCTGCATACAAAATAACATAAAGCTGCAAGGGTCTTCCACATGACCAAGCCCAATACCCGACCATTGACCTGTCTAACACTAGGGCGCTTAGGGCGCTACTAAACTACACTATCCCTGTAGCACACTGTCAGAACAGAGAAATAAAAACTACAAAATCGAGATCAATGTAAGTTGACAAACATTCTCAAGTTAAAGGATACATTCCTTGTTTACCTAAAGCATCCCCCACCCACTTGCTTGCCATAGTGGCGAGCATGAGGGGTACAATATACTGAAGTCCTCCTGTCAGCTCAAACATTATCACCACCAATGACACTGAAATGGATTTACAAACATAATAATCATATAATAACTAAGATAATGAGATATAACTTTTCTCCATTATACAAATAAATAATAATAAATAAACACATACAGAGCACTCTTCATTTCCTTATCCTGCTGAATGGTTGTTATGACTTTGGCCTGCTTTTGAATCTTGTACAGCCCCTATCAAACTTATAAGATTTCATTATCAAACAAGAGCACCGCTAGGCGGAGCATTATATGCCCGAAAGTGTTTTTTTTTTAGTAAGGATGAAGCATTTGTAAGACATGGGAATTAGCTGTTCATCCTATAAAAAATTTTACAGATGTAGGTTGATAAATACTTAAGTTATTAATAATGACCTTAACCTTTGACCTTGTGACCCCAAAATCAATAGGGGTCTTCTACCTTATATGGACTCATCCTAAGAAATTTGAATATTGTGGGCCAAATGGAACTTCAGATATGCTCCGGAAACTGTTTTCAATTTTAAGGTAATAGTGACTTTGACCTTGTAACCCCAAAATCAATAGGGGTCTTCTACCTAATATGGACAATCATCCTATGAAGTTTGAATAAAGTGGGCCAAATAGAACTTATGTTATGCTCCAGAAACTGTTTTCAGTATCAAGGTGATAGTGACCTTGACCTTTTGACCCCAAAATCAATAGGGGTCTTCTACCCAATATGGACAATCATCCTAAGAAATTTGAATATTGTGGGCCAAATGGAACTTTAGATATGATCCAGAAACTGTTTTCAATTTTAAGGTAATAGTGACTTTGACCTTTTGACCCCAAAATCAATAGGGGTCTTCTACCCAATATGGACAATCATCCTATGAAGTTTGAACATTGTGGGCCAAATGGAACTTAAGTTATGCTCCGGAAAACAAATTGCTTACCGACGAAAACTTTTTTCAGTTTTAAGGTAAAAGTGACCTTGACCTTTGGACACCAAAATCAATAGGGGTTTTCTACCCAATATGGACAATCATCCTATGAAGGTTGAACATTGTGGGCCAAATAGAACTTAAGTTATGCTCCGAAAACCAAATTGCTAATGGACGGAAAATTGCTAACGGACTGAGCCTGTTTTCAGTTTTAAGGTAATAGTGACCTTGATCTTGTAACCCCAAAATCAATAGGGGTCTTCTACCTAATATGGACAATCATCCTATGAAGTTTGAATAAAGTGCGCCAAATAGAACTTATGTTATGCTCCAGAAACTGTTTTCAGTACCAAGGTAATAGTGACCTTGACCTTTGACCTTTTAACCACAAAATCAATAGGGGTCTTCTACCTAATATGGACAATCATCCTATGAAGTTTGAACATTGTGGGCCAAATGGAACTTAAGTTATTCTCCGGAAACCAAATTTCTAACAGACGGAAACTGTTTTCAGTTTTAAGGTAATAGTGACCTTGACCTTTGACCTTTTGACCCCAAAATCAATAGGGGGTCTTCTACCCAATATGGACAATCATGCTATGAAGTTGAACATTGTGGGCCAAATAGAAACTTAAGTTATGCTCCGGAAACCAAATTGCTAACGGACGGAAAATTGCTAATGGACGGAAACTGTTTTAAGGTAAAAGTGACCTTGACCTTTAACCTTTTGACCCCAAAATCAATAGGGGTCTTCTTCCCAATATAGACAATCATCCTATGAAGTTTGAACATTGTGGGTCAAATAGAATTTAAGTTATGCTCCGGAAACCAAATTGCTAACGGGACGGACGGACAGACGGACGCCAGGGGGTATAACATAATATGCCCTTTCGGGCATAATAAAAACAAGCACAGGTTGAACCAGGTGATGCTCCCTGAGTTAGTTTTGGTCCCAGAAAACTATGAAAAAATGAACAAAGGGCAAAAACTCCAAAATCAGACAAAAACAGAGTTATGGTTCTTTGCACTGCACTTTTTATTCAATGAGATTTATCTACCTATTAAGTTTTGTGTTGATATCTCTTATAGTTTCAGAGTTATGTCCCGGGTAAAGTTCAAAGTGTAAAAACGAACAAAGGGCAAGGCCTGTGTTTAGGGTCTTTAGCACTGCACTTCTATACAATGAGATCTATCTACCTACAAACTTCCATGTTGATATCTCTTATAGTTTTAGAGTTATGTCCCTAACAAAGTTCAAGTATAAAAGTGAACAAAGGGCAATAACTCCAATAAAAAGGCAAGACAGAAGTTATGGTTGTTTAGCAATGCATTTTAACACAATGAGATCCATCTACCTACAAAGTTTCATGCTGATATCTCTTACAGTTTTAGAGTAATGTCCTGGACAAAGTTCAAGTATAAAAAATGAACAAAGAGCAAAAACTCCAAAATAAAGCAAGGCAGAGTTATGGTTCTTTAACAATGCACTTCAACACAATAAAGATCTATCTACCTACAAAGTTTCATGTTGATATCTCTTATAGATTTAGAGAAATGTCCTGGACAAAGTTAAAAGTGTAAAAATGAACAAAGGGCAATAACTCCAAAATAAGGCAAGGCAGAGTTATGGTTCTTTAGCACTACACTTCTACTCAATGAGATCTACCAACCTACAAAGTTTCATGTTGATTTCTCTTATAGTTTGTAAAAAATGTAAAAATGAACAATTTGTTTGTTTGCTTCAGTTTACACCTTTTCTCAACAGTATTTCAGTCATATAGGCGGGTAGTTTCCTAACCATCGTTCCTGGAGAGTTACACCAGTACTAGACTACCTTCCTCCGCGCTAAACTACCAAAGCATCTCCTGGGGATCGAACCCACGCCAGAGAGGTAACTGGATTAGAAGTCATCGACTCTAACCCCTGGACCACGAAGGCAGTTAAAAAAAAATTAAACAAAGGGCAATTATTTAAAAATAAGGCAAGGCAGAGTTCCTGTTTTTGAGCACTGCAGATCTACACAATGAGATCTATCTACCTACAAAGTTTCATGTTGATATCTCTTATACTTTTAGAGTTATGACCAGGACAAAGTTCAAAGTGAAAAAAATAAACAAAGGGCAATAATTCAAAAATTAGGCAAGGCAGAATTACGGTTCTTGTTCACTGCACACTTTCTCAAATGAGATCTATCTACCTACAATGTTTTCATGTTGATACCCCTTATAGTTTTAGAGTTATGTCCCAGACAATGTTCAAAGTGTAAAAATAAATAAAGGGTAATTATTCAAAAATTAGGCAAGGCAGAGTTACGGTTTTTGTGCACATCTACTCAATGAGATCTATCTACCTACAAAGTTTCATGTTGATACCCTTTGTTGTTTCAAAGTTATGTCCCGGACAAGAATAGCGGACGGGTGGATGTACATACAAAATAGTACTTATGTGACTTTTCCTTTGATAATGTCAAACAAGGCTTAAAAAAGACACACAAGTAAAAACGGAATGAATAGGATCAAAGGAACTGTACTGTTACAGATGGATAGACAAAGCAGCGACTATATGCTCACCATTCGGGAAGCATAATTTAGATTGTTGTCTATTACTGCTAAACACATGCAAAGAACCAACTTATCAGTGATACTAAGCCAGGTTTGGCCTGTTAATTTTAATACCAAGTCGAGTAAAAACTCACCTGTCATTCTTGTGACACCACCTAAAGCTGCTGCTGCACCAACCATGGCATATAGTCCTGGAGTTATTGCACAATCCGACTGACACATATTTTTGAACAATGGACTATCTCTGTTAGCTCTGTAATTAAACAGATTTGTAAAATAACAAAAACTTTTATAGGTTAACATACTGAACTACTGAACAAAAGTCAATTAAAGTCAATCAAATTAAATCAGAAGTTAACAATGGGGAATGTTTTAGTTAAATTCTAGAGTCATAGGCCAGTGGCCAAACAATATTGATCGGATCACAAACACATTTCAAGATTGAAAAGCAAATAAATGAGATATGAAGTTGCAAGCAAATGTTGCACAAAACAATGTCATTTTCAGAGTAAATGAATGTTAATTGACAATGCAGAAGTGGTGAATTTTTAGGGTCAAGGTCTTGGTTACCATGGGTAATTTTAGACTTCATATATTACAAAGTTTCTTGTATCATGCCTTAGGCAAATTACTAATACAGAGGGTTTTAGTTATATCTCCTGTTTTAACTAATAATACTTTGATTTTGACTCTGTATTATTTGTTATATTTTTTATGCTTAACAAATCATTTAGGTGAGAATTGCAAAACTGCTGGTTATGTTATAACATTGACCTATGGGGTAGCATCCTTGTTGTCGCCCTCTGTAGGTGATGATGGTGAACCTTTTATTCCAATATAATTAAAAATTTCAGGAGTTAAACAAGAAATGTTGAACGACACATATGCCGCTGATTATCTTAAAAACTATTTATCACAAAATCTTCATATTCCACATACTGATTGGTCATAACTAGAAGATGACCTTATTGATTTAGGGGTAACTAGGTCAAAGGTCAAGGTCACAGGGGCCTTGAATGTCAGAATGGTTTCTGCTTATTATCTCAGAAACTATTAATCACAAAGTCTTCATATTTCTCATATTGAAAAAATAGATGTTTTTTACATTGGACGTTTGACTGTTGTGCTCAGCACATGGTGTCATCATGTTGACCATTTATGCAGCATTATAAATGTTATGGAGTGGACACAAAATGTAATTTTTAACACTTGAACTTAACCTTTGTAGTAGCAACCCCAATTATTGCTCTGCACATCATGTCATAATGGTGATCACTTGTGCCAAGTTATTAAAAAAAATCAGCTTTTCAAAAGTTATGGAGCAGACACAAAAAGTGATATGGATGGTCAGACCAATAGCAGTCATTCCTATAATTCCATCTTGCTTTCCAGGAGGGGATCAAATTTTACCATCTTGAATTGTCAGTAAGCTATAGAGGGGACATGAAAAATAGATGTTTTAACATTGGACCTTTGAGTGTGACCTTGACCTAAAGGGTAGTGATGTGATTGTTGTGCTCTGCACATGGTGTTAAAACTGTGATCATTTCTACCAAGTTATCATTGAAACATTGAAAAGAATTAAATGTTATGGAGTAGACATTTTAATACTTGACCTTTACGTGTGACATTGATCTTTGGGGTAGCAAATTATTGTGCTCTGCTCATGATCACTTGTGGTAAGTTATTTCAAAATATTTTCAGTGGTTTTAAAGTTATGGAGCAGGCACGAAAGTGTAAGGGATCAAAGGACGGACTGACAAACGGAGGCAATTCCTATAATCCCCTCTCTGTTTTGCAGAAGGATATTGATAAATTGACAACTTACATGACTAGTTGTTCCATGCCAATACCAATCAATCTTCCCATAATAGCACCAACTGCCATACTAGGTATGAACAATCCTGATGGTACCTTAAATATACAACAACAATATAGGCATTACAGCAATTGTGTCTACAGATACAACCAAGTGAGCTAACATTCATCACCTGAAATAGATAATCATGAGAAATAACGTTGTAAATTATGTAATATAATAATTTTACCCTAAAAATAACTAACATATTAACAATATTTTCCATACAAAACATTGTATGTTGGAAACATTAGGTTTCAGTCGCTTAGCATGTGTCAAGTTCTGTGTAGCAGCTGTAAAATGATCCCTGTACTTCACATCAAGTGTTACTATATACTTTTCTGGTCCTTTAGGATCATTGATTCTAACACTTGTAAGTGCTGCAAAATGAGTACTACTAAAGCCGGTGCTAGGGGGCATGAGGGATGTCCCACTTTTTCATATTCCCTCATGTACAGACTCAGTCAAATCGAGTCTGTAATTTTCATGTAAATTTTGTTGTGATTTTTGCTTTCGTGGGATCAAACTTTGTCTAGAATTTTAGAGTTTCGAAAATATTTTCAGCATTTTAGAATTTTAGAGATATCTTAAGAAACAGTTGCTTCTAAGGGATCTCCCCCTTTACCAGACTTTTATATGATTTAGTTTGATTCATGTGTATGATCATATAACATCTATCTCCTTTAAATGATTTTATTATTTTGGCAGGATTTTGTTGGTTTTTTGTTTGTTTTCCTTTGGGTTTTTTCCTTTGTTATTTTGTTTTTGCGTGTGCTTATTTGAAATTGACTATTTTGGGATTGGGAATTAAAAAAACTGTCCTTTATGTAACTCCAAGTGATAGGAACGAAAAACTTCCTAAAAATGTTTGCTTGATTTATAAAGGTATAAATGGATGCAATTTCTTATACAGGAGCCCCAAGATAAACATCTATATCATATTTACAATGTAAACAATATGTAACATGGTTCCCAATATCACCATCTTGATAAACACCTATTATCAATATTTCAAAGTTTGCGTCCTTAAAAATGACATCTATCATATGACTTGTTTGATAAAATATTATCAGTAGATGTACCACTTCATAAACAGTCATTATCAGATGTAACTGAAATGTTATCATACATGTATAAAACTTTAAATACAGTCCAAACAACTTTATTTTTAGCTCTGGTGGCCATTTTGTGCAGCTAAGCGAAACGTACCAGTATTGTGCACAACAAGGGATGGTACTGATCACTCCTGTGAAGTTTGGTTAAAATCCCACCAGTAGTTTGACCTGTGAATGCCGGACAAGATTTTTTTCTATTTTTAGCTCTGGCTGCTATTTTGTGCAGCCAAGCAGAATATGCCGGTATTGTGTTCAACTAGGGATGGAACTGATCACTCCTGTAAAGTTTGGTTGAACGCCCACCTGCTGTTTGACCTGTGAAGGGCGGACAAGCTAAATGTGGCGGACAAGCTAAATGTGAACTGGACAGACAGACGGATGTACTTACGAAATGGTTCTTATGTGACTTTTCTTTGATCTTTTAAGCCATTTTAGTCACAAAAGGCCTAAAAAAAGGCACACAAGTAAAAATGGAATGAATAGGATCAAAGGAAATGTACCGTTACCCATTGTTCTCCAAGTCAGACAAGTACCTCTGGGTTTGTATGGAAGGACAGGCGGACGGCGAAGGCAAAAACAATATGTCTCCCAAAAAATTTGGGAGAAATAATAATCGATGGGTTCAGATAATCGAAATCGGAATATTGTGAATAGACAAAAACAACTCCACTTTGGCCAATCATAGCAAAACTACCGTTTACAACACACTTGTTTCCTGCAATCAATTGAGAAAATAAGATATTAAAGAAAAGATGCTTAAAAATGATTTTTTATTGGCATTGGAGACATAAATACTTTCATTTTATTGTACATTATGTCGTTTGTTTCGTGAAAAAGCCTTGATAATGGCCGTGTTGTCACTACAGTATTTACGGTTAAACTCTGGTATTTTCAATTAGGGCAAAGGCTCTCATGTAACAATACAAATAATGAAAAAAAAATCTGATGTTTCACATTCACCCATAGAGTATGTATGAAAATTATCGTTGTCATCTTCGAGAAATAACAGTAACAACATCGGACACGGTGCATAGCTTTTCATTTTTGGTAATTAAAGTTAATTAAAGGACACCCAAAGCGTAATTATCAAGATTGTCTCAATACACGCATGAATGTTGAAAATGTTTCACAATTCGAATGATCAGCGAGTGGATCTGCGCCAATTAGTCTGGCTTCGAATAATAGGTGTGAAATTGTTTCATAATTGTATTATCGGGACCAAAATTTTACTTTGAAAATAATAGGAGATATTCGGATAATGCATTTCAATTTTACATTGATTTATATAGAGATAAAAACGGGACCGCCAATCTAGTTGGGATAATGCCTGGTATTTGAACAAGAGCGATCAGTAATCACATGTGTCGCCTCATGATGGCCAATTTCATGTTGGGACAAATTTTGTGACAGACGGACAGACAGACGGACAGTGCACAACTAGACTAACCACTTTGTACTGATCATTCCTGTAAAATTTGGATAAAATTGCACCAGTAGTTTATGAGGAGTAGTCCGGACAAGCTTTTGCGTATCTGGCAACACACAGAAAAAAACACCTTTTTATCAAAGGGCCATAACTCGGCCAAAAATCATTCAATCGGAAAACCCTTGCAATATGCGCAAGGACTTGAGCTACAGATCAATCCTGTAAAGTTTCATTGAAATTGCATAAGTGGTATAAGAGAAGTAGTCTGGACAAACTTTAAAAATAAAAATTATTAAAGGCCATAACTCAAACAAAAATCATTGAACCGGAAAATGCTGACAATATGCACAACTAGACTTGGTACTGATCATTCCTGTAAAGTTTGGATGAAATTGCACCAGTAGTTTATGAGAAGTAGTCCGGACAAGCTTTTGTGTATCTGGCAACACACAGAAAAAGAAACCTTTTTATCAAAAGGGCCATAACTCGGCCAAAATCATCAACCGGAAAACCCGTGCAATATGCGCAAGGACTTGAGCTACAGATCAATCCTGTAAAGTTTCATTGAAATTGCATTAGTGGTATAAGAGAAGTAGTCCGGACAAACTTTAAAATTAAAAATTATTAAAGGGCCATAACTCTGACAAAAATCATTGAACCGGAAAATCCTGACAATATGCACAACTAGACTTGGTACTGATCATTCCTGTAAAGTTTTGATGAATTTGCACCAGTAGTTTATGAGGAGTAGTCCGGACAAGTTTTGTGACGGACGGACGGACGGACGGACAGACGGACAGACAGACAGACAGACAGACAGACGACGGAGAAGTGATCCCTATATGTCGCCACTACTCCGTAGAGGCGACACAATAAAAGGTTGTTGAATAACCGGGGTCGGACTGTAGTAGTATGTTACCAGTGAAAAGATTTTACCAATATAGCATACTTTTGTAACATTTAGCTTACAAAATAACTCAGCATACATTTTCATTTCAAAGTTGAATCACCCTTACATTATAAATGTAATGTACTGCCGTAAGCCTAAATTTCCTAGAACTGAAAGCAATTAGCCTTAGTCACTGTTTTCCGCAGACCAACTTAAAAATTTACATCTTGACATCCCTCTAAAATTGATAACAGACAGCTCCAAGTATAAAAGCTGGTCAAGTTAATTGATTAAGTTCATCAGATAACATAATATCATAATGACTATGTAACTTGTTATCTTCATTATTTAAAAGTACATGTAGTATTGCACTGTGAGTTAAAGGGAAAAATTGATAATCTAATTTTCTTTTTCAACAAAACAAGAATAAAAAACTGTTTAAGTAAACTTTGGAATCAGTTTAAGGTAGGCCATTTCATATTCTATTGTAAAATAATCTAGATATGTTGCTTTATTATATTTTCTTTTTAACTCTTTTATCTGAACTATCAAAACTACATCTTCTTCAACTTCATGAATAAACTAAGAAAACACGACCATAAGTGTATAACTGTAAACATATTTTCAGTCAGATTGAGTACATATGTCATAAGATACAAATATCTAAAATTTAACAGTGACAATTTAATTTCACAATTATTTCAAATAAAAGAATCTACCAAAAAATAACAGTAATGTGATTGTATCAAAATAAAACAATAAAAATTACAGGCAAAATAGTCATATTTAGTAAAATAGCTAAATCCTGAAATAAGAGTATGTAATTATAAAACTACTATTTTATTTTCAGGAGTCATCAGTGAACTCCAATACTGTATACTACATATGATGACTTTGAAGCTTTATTTTCTTTCATCAAAAATCATTTCTGAAACCAAACATATACCGTACTGCATCTTATACTATATTGTTGTTATTTTGGCACCATGCAAGAAATGTATAGAAAAGATCTGCATTTCATACTTTGACAAATGATTAAACTTCTGTTGTTCAAAAACTGGTAAATGGTTTTGTTTTACTTTTGATTCAGGGAAATCATGGCTGTCCCAGGTAAAAAAGCCACCAAACAATTTTCATCTTCAACAACTTCTATGGGTTCTGATGAAGATCTCAAAGTTTACTGTCAGCCATGTAATCGAGATGGACCTAGACTTCCTGTCCATGGCTATTGTACAAACTGTTCAGAGCATTTGTGTGAAACATGCTTTACCCTCCACAGAAGACACACATTGTCAAGACACCATACTTTACTAGACAAATCCAACATGCCTAAGACTCTGTCACATGCAACACCAAGACAACCAGATAACTTCACAAAACCATGTCCTAAACACAACATTGAGATGATCAAGTTTTACTGCCATGATCATAAGGCTCTACTTTGCAATGTTTGTGTTACACTTGAGCATACAGTAACATCTTGCCATGTCAACTATATACCTGACATTTCAGGCCAAACCATCAATGGCACAGAGTATCAAGATGTATTGAAAGATTTGAACGACATCACTGAGCGATCAAGCAATTTTCTTCAACACATGAAGAAAATGAATGAGTTATCAAACAAGTCTTTGACAGAAGCATTGACAGGCATATTGAAATTCCGAAAAAAAATTAACCAAAGACTAGATGAAATGGAAAGACAAGTCAAAAACACTGTAAAAATCATCCAAGAGGACAATAGCAAGAATTTGAAGACTGTAGAAACAGCAAGTGGAGATGTACTTAAATCATTAAAGTCATCCTCTGATGTCATTAAACATCTCAACACTTCCAAACAAGCCAATGATTTGTTCATGGAACTAAAACATGCACAACAGATGATAAAAAATTATGAACAGAGTGTTTCTAAGCTCTCAGAATTTGAAGTCAAAGAGTATAAGTTAGAACCAAATGAGGTAATATCAAATCTTCTTGCAAAAGAGAAGTCACTGGGAATGCTGAAAGATAGGCTATTATCTCCTGCTTTGAGGTCCAGACAATTTTCACAAATGGATAAAATCGGTATCATAACATCAAAAGACAGACTTGATTGCTGGATATCAGGAATGACTCTCCATACTCCTGATCTTCTTATCATCACAGATTATGCAAACATGGCCATTAAAATAGTTGATATCAGTATAAAGTCTGTACAAGCTTGGCATAACTTTGATAGTAAACCTTATGATGTCACAACAGTTTCACAAAATGATGTTGCTGTCACATTGCCATTTCATCAAACTATTCAGTTCTTTTCTGTTTCTAGAAATAATCTCAGGCAGAAGCATACTCTAAAGGTAGACGGAGAATGTTTTGGTATTAGCTTTCATAAAGATAAAATGGTGGTGTCATATCTCAATCCAGTTAAAGTTGAAATCCTTCTTATCAATGGCACTGTATTACAGTCAATACAAGATGAAAATATTTTCAAAAAACCACTCAATATTACAACAAGTGACAATTGTATCTATGTATCTGATTATTCATTAAAAACAGTTACCAAGTTAAACTGGCAGTGTGAGGTGAGAGGTAAATATGTGTGTAAAGAATCTCCATGTGGCTTGACAATGTCAGATGATGGGACCGTGTTTGTTTGTATAGAAAACCCTACCATAGAAGAGATATCAGGAGACTGTATTAAAGGACAAGTTGTTGTAAAGGATATACAATGGCCTCAAGCTGTCAATTGGTCTGCTGATACATGTACATTGTACACAAGCAGCAGGGTTACTCCAGAATGTGACTTTATAAAACTCTTCAAACTGTCTAAATAATGAAAGAAATTTTTTCTTCAGAGACAGACACGATATTAACAAACATAAAGGCATTAACTTTTGTATGATAGATGGTGCTTATTATTGGTAGTGATTAAGATTAAGAACTGGTGACTGTTATTTATAGTACCTCTGTAAACAATAAACTATTTCTCACTAGAAACAATTACACTATTAAAGTTGCCATCATTCAGATTGGTAAGGCACAAACACCCTTGGTGAGCTTATAACAAGCTTATAACAAGCAGAGTATCACCAACATACTTGCACTATCTAACACAAATTTGAGCTGTGACAGTTATTTAACTGCAACAGTTATTTTTTAAATTTGCACTATCTAACACAAATTTGAGCTGTGACAGTTATTTAACTGCAACAGTTATTTTTTAAACTTGCACTATCTAACACAAATTTGAACTGTGACAGTTATTAAACTGTAACAGTTATTTTTTAAATGATTTTTTTTCTTTTTTGTTAAAAACTTTTACTTCACAAACTGGTGTATCTTTTAACTTCTGGACTGGTGGCATAAACAAACCATTGTCACAATATACATTCAGAGAATAAACTAATATCTAACACAAAATAAATCTGATGAAAATCAGCTCCAATTTAATGCTTTAAGCATAGCATGTGACAAGCAACAACAGGATGTCAACATCTCATGACCTTTCAAGCAGCCAATCATTGACAAGCTTTCACAATTTGAAAGGGATACAATTTCTAATTTAACTGCTTGGAAACCAATATTAAGTATGTAATTTTCATGATTTTGGGAAGAAAGATGTGTTATCCATAAAGCCAGCAGGAAAACTGGCAAAATGATTGTCACATAGTGGTTGAAAAAACTGCAGAGACTATATGTGATTTTTATACTTTATCACTTACTAATTTTAATCTAAGTGTTGAGCATAATTTCGTCAGCTCAACTTCAATCAACCCTTCCCCTGTCAAATGGGCTGTCCAGCCTTTATATTATCTGTCAACAACCATTTCACAATTTTCAGAATCATGAATATAAAGAGAGTAACTATAGCTATCATTAAAAGTTATTAATACACCCAAAAGCAACTTTGACTTTTTTTGAAGAAAAAATTGAACACAACCTATAATTAATGATGTATCAACTATGTACATCGAATTATTTCAATTAATTGCAATCCCAACCAGGATCTTCATATAAACTTGTTATTTACTAAATCTGAGTGTAATATCTCAATCCCAACTTTATCCGAAAATCATTTTTTTATTTTAAGAAACAGTTACCATGACCCCAGGGGGTCCAAATGATATACCAACCGGGGTCTTCCTATAAGCTTGCTATAAACAAAGTTTAATTACAACATCTCATTCCAAACTCTTGTTATTGACAGCCAACCATTTTTCAATTTTTGGTAACAGTGACCTTGACCAAAGGGGTTCCAAAAACAATACCCACCGGGGTTCTTCATATCAGCTTGCTTTAAACCAAGTTTGATTACACTATTTCATTCCTAACTCAAATTATTGTCCAGAAAACATTTTCCTATTTTTAGTAATGGTGACTTTGATATTGACCCCAGGGGTGCAATGCAATACCAACAAGGGTTTCCACATTAGGTTGCTAAATACAAACCACAGACCAACCAACCGTTCTGCAAGCAGACTCCTATATACCCCCATAAACCTTGTTTGTGGAGGTATAATCAACAGAAACTGCAATCAATCATCTTTACATACTGACCAACCATTGTATTTTTTTTATCTATACAGATGCATATTGTCAATAGCTTTACTATATATATGTGTCATGTTTAACAATCATATATTAATTATATAATAAATATTTCCTATCTAAAACCGTGTGCTTCATTTATTTGAATCATAAACTAGAAATGTGTCCATAGGACACAGGTGCCCCCACCGCGCCACTGTTCTGTCAATCTTATGACTCTAGGTCAAATATTTCTTGAAAACTAAAAATCTTTTACCAAGTAAAGGGCAAGAACTTTACAAATACTGAATAAATCCACAAGCAAACCCCAAGGTGCATAAGTACACATGCTGACCTGAACATTCTTGCAAACTTTCAGGCCTACAAGTGTAATACTTTTTGAGCTATGCATGAACAAGTTGAAAATTGCAAATGTATACTACTGTAAGTCAAGGGCGATAACTCTAACAAAACTGAAAAAAATCCACATGCAAAGTCCCAGGTGCATAGCTTCACAGTGATGTGAATCATTATTTCTGTAATTTAGTGATGTTGATCATTATATCTGTAAAGTTGGTTCAAGCACTCAAGGAACAAATAACAACATAATGAAACGGTTTTTACTAAGTCAAGGGAAATAACTCTAAAAATACTAAATAAATCCAGACGAAAATACCGTGGTGCCCAACTACATATGCTGATCAACATTCCTGTACAGTTTCATGACTCTAGGTCAAATACTTTTTAAGTTACATGCGACACAAGTTGAAAATTGCAAAATTTTACTAAGTCAAGGGCAATAACTCTAATAATACTAAAACTATCCAGACGAAAATACCCAGGTGCACAACTATACATGCTGATAAACATTCCTGTACAGTTTCATGACTCTAGGTCAAATACTTTTTGAGTTACATGCGACACAAGTTGAAAATTGCAAAATATTACTAAGTCAAGGGCAATAACTCTAAAAATACTAAAGATATATCCATACAAAAATACCCAGGTGCACAACTATACATGCTGATAAACATTCCTGTACAGTTTCATGACTCTAGGTCAAATACTTTTTGAGTTACATGCGACACAAGTTGAAAATTGCAAAATATTACTAAGTCAAGGGCAATAACTCTAAAAATACTAAAGATATATCCATACAAAAATACCCAGGTGCACAACTACACATGTTGATCAACATTCCTGTAAAGTTTCATGACTCTAGGTCAAATACTTTTTGAGTAACATGCGACACAAAAGAGAACGGACGGATGGACGTCCCTCTAGCCACATAATTACTGTCCTGTGAGTGCGGACGGACGGACAAGGGTAAATCTAAATGCCCGCCACTAAAGTGAGGGCACAAAAATATATGTACAATCAACCAAAGATTTAATTATGTGATTCAATCTTGCCCAATAAAAATTGAGACTACTTTTTCCAGTTTATTTGTTTCAAATTACTTCACACATTTTTTCTCTCTAACAAAAATCAACAATTTGTTTTAATTCCACAGACAACCATATTTTGGATATTCTGTAAAGGACAGTTTGATTGCATGGCTAAATAATAAAAAATAGCTTTCTTGGGAAATCCAAATCAAAATGAAGGTGAAACAAATACGGTGGCAATCAGATCTACATGCAAGAAATAACTTAAGTAGATCTGAATATTTGTCAGATTGTGTTTGGGCTAGAGTTAAGACAATAACATAATATCTGTCACAATCTTACCTTCATACCAAACGTGAACACAGTAATTATTCCCTTGAATAAAAGAGCCAGGAAAAGTTGCCATATTGCTCTCTTTACACCATCCCCAGCAAATGTACTTGACATGTATGACTTTGGATCCGTGAAATTTCTTTGATAATCACTGAAATAGCAACATATGAAAGCTGTATTGTTTGGTCTTAAGTGCTTATGATTTTCTTGCAAGACTGCTTGTAAGTTGACAAGTTTATAGAACTATAATTATAATTATATGTTATGAATATTTTAAGAATCTACACTGAGCTCCAAAAGGCTCAAACATAAAATTTGAAATCTAACATAATTTAACTTGGGCACTCGAAACTAAAAAAATTGAAAATGAAAAGGTCTAGCTTTTTGTTTTTTTTAAGAGAATTTTTTTTAGTTTTTACTCTATACATACAGAAATATATAAAGAAAAACAATGACTGTCCTGGGGCGGGGCCAATTTTGATCCCAGGGCTTTTATTTGAACAAACTTGGTAGACACTCACTAGAAGATGTGTTATGCAAAAAATCTCAGCTCTAGCTTTTTGGGTTTTTTGAAAAAAAGATTTTAAATTTTTTAATCTATACATATAAGGAAAATAAATAACCCTTGAAACGGGGCCAATTTTGACCCCAGGGCTTTTATTCAAACCAATTTGACAGACACCCACAATAAGATGTTTCATACTAAATATCTTAGCTCTAGCTCTTTCGTTTTTTTTAAACAAGATTTTTTTAAAGATTTTACTTAATATATGTAAGGAAAAACAATGACCATCCTTGGAAGGTGCCAATTTTTTCCTCAGAGCTTTTATTTGAACAAACTTGGTAGAAACTCACTAGAAGATGTTTAATGCCAAATATCTTAGCTCTAGCTCTTTGTATTTTTTAAAAGCTTTTACTATATACATATAGGAAAATCAATAACCCCCTTTGGGCGGTGCCCATTTTGACTGCATGGCTTTTATTCAAACAAACTTGGTACACACTCACTAGAATATGTTTCGCACCAAATATCAAAGCTCTAGCTCTTGAGTTTTTTAAAGAAGATATTTTAAGTTTTTTCTTTCGGTTGCCCTGGCAACCAGAGTCTGCATGGAATTAAATTCTTTGAACAATTTTAAAGGTGGCCTATTTGATAGTTTTGATAGACGGAAGGATGTGCCACGGAGGACACCAGATGAAAAGCGATCACAAAAGCTCACACTGTCACTTTAAGACAAAAATCTAAGAGCTTTTCACATGTGCAGCCTTAAGAACTTATTGTTATATCTTCAACAGCGGATCTATGTACTGTTGCACATTCTTCTAAGAATATAAAATCAATAACATCATGTACAGATCTTGCCAGAGGGGATGCCCATGACCTTCCTAGAATTTTGCTGGTATGTATTAAAATATACATAATATATAATATATCGGGGTCTGGATATTAACTTTTTTTCACTTACAATAAATGTTTTGACTTATAAAACTCCGGGAAAACTAGTAAAATACACCAAACACTCTCATGAAAATAGCAAAACTTGAATGTGCATTAACCCCTGTCAGAAATTATATGACACCCTCTGGTAAAAGATTCCATAATTGGCACCGGACGCTATTATGTGGATAACCTTTTCGATACAGTTTTTAACCAGGTTTTCCGAAGGAAAAAACTGGTTATTAGATTGAGGTATGTCGGCGGGCGGGCTGATGGGCGGACGGGCGGGTGTAAACAATTTCTTCTGTGCGCAACTCCTCCTACATTTCTCAACGGATTTTGACCAAACTTTCACAGAAGCTTTGTCATCAAGTGCCCTGGTGCATATTGTCGGGGTTTTGTGATTGGATAGTAGTTGACCTAATTATGGCCCTTTGTTTTTTTTCCTTATATAGAATTTATAGTGAACAGTTTCTTCTGTGCGCAACTCCTCATATATATTTCTGGTCTGATTTTGACCAAACTTTCACAGAAGCTTTGTCATGAAGTGTTCTGGCGCATATTGTTGGGGTTTTGTGATTAGATAATTTTTGACCTAATTATGGCCCTTTGTTTTTTTTCTTATACAGAATATAAAGTAAACAATTCCTTCTGTGCGCAACTCCTCCTACATTTCTCAACGGATTTTGACCAAACTTTCACAGAAGCTTTGTCATCAAGTGCCCTGGCGCATATTGTCGTTTTTTTTTTTAATTGCATAATATTTGACATAATTATGGCCCTTTGTTTTTTTCCTTATATAGAATATATAGTGAACAATTTCTTCTGTGAGCAACTCCTCCTACATTTCTCAACGGATTTTGACCAAACTTTCACAGAAGCTTTGTCATCAAGTGCCCTGGCGCATATTGTCGGGGTTTTGTAATTGGATAATTTTTTACCTAATTATGGCCCTTTGTTTTTTTCCTTATACAGAATATATAGTGAACAATTCCTTCTGTGCGCAACTCCTCCTACATTTCTCTACGGATTTTGACCAAACTTTCACAGAAGCTTTGTCATCAAGTGCCCTGGCGCATATTGTCAGTTTTTTTTTAATTGGATAAAAGTTGGCATAATTATGGCCCTTTGTTTTTTTTTCCTTATATAGAATATATAGTGAACAATTTCTTCTGTGCGCAACTCCTACATTTTTCAACGGATTTTGACCAAACTTTCACAGAAGCTTTGTCATCAAGTGCCCTGGCGCATATTGTCAGGGTTATGTGATTGTATAATATTTGACCTAATTATGGCCCTTCGTTTTTTTCCTTATACAGATTATATAGTGAACAATTTCTTCTGTGGGCAATTCCTCCTACATTATTCATGATTTACATTGCACATAGTTACATTGTTTGTTGCTTGTATTTGTATTTCAACTACAACATATTTATCTACAATGGTGATAATTGAAAACCTGGTTTCGTGGCATTGCCATGTTTCTTGTTCTCTATTTTTAAGATGTTAGTTATGTTGGTTTATAGTCACAGGTGGCAATAACTAAAATTTAATGTATATGTATGCTATTTTATCAAAATAATATGTACAGTAAATACACACCATAAATCATTAGTATCTTCAGGTCCACAACTACTGACCAGCTGTCGTATCATTTCACTCGTGTTCATTCTTGTATATGGATTAGGAAAACTTAACAATGTTGTAATAAATGCTACCACAAGTACCTGCAAACAGATAATTAACATGACTTTAATGACAACAGTACTTACTGGTTAGTTCCAAGAATCTATCTTATTCATATAAATTGCAAGAATTTGTTTTCCTATTCAGCATGAATAGGGATGTTTAGTTTTTGTTTATTTCCTTGGGTTTTACATCGCACCAACGCCATTTAGGTCATATGGCAACTTTCCAGTTTTACTGGTTCAGTAACACCTCAAGTGACCTTCCGTGCATTATTTCAGGAACGAATAGCAACCTTAGTAGAACCATGCACGTTCCCTAAACTACCTGGATAGCTTCCTCATGAGGAAGAATCCAAAGTCTCTGTCTGGATTCAAACCCACAGTGGTGGTATGAAGTAAATGACCTTAACCACAGAAGCCTCTAATAAGTATGCATAAACTAACAAACTATTTGTATCAATTCCATGGGACTTTTTGTGACCTGTGTGGGACAGAAAACCGACAGTAAAGTCAGTCCAGGATTTACTTTCCTAAATAACCTTTTTAAGGCTTCTCAATAAATGATGCCTAAATGGTGCCTTTACACATTTTCATGCTTTTTATTTTAACTTTGACCCCTATATGTGACTTTGACCTTAGCCCCTGGAACCTGAATTTTGCCTGCGACACTCCATCTCACAATGGTGAACATTTGTGCGAAGAAATATTGAAATCCCTCTATGCATGTAGAATATATGCTCTGGACAAGCAGTTTTCAATGACCTCTATGTGTGACATTGACTTTTGACCTAGAGACCTTGTTCATGCCGCGACACATATTCTCACAGAGGTGAACATTTCTATGAAGTTTTATCAAAATCCCTACATGTGTGTAGCAGATATGCTCCTGACAAAAAGCCACCCGCCAAACCGTCTGCCGACAGGGGCGTTCCTATAATACGACCTACTTAGGTTTTCAGCACCATGCAGATTACAAAATGTCACATTGGATAGGACATTTAAACTTTACATCTTTACATTATCATTTATGATTGTAATTTTACTATCACATGTTTCTGTAGAATATATCTATAGGACTTTAGTTTACTGACATATAGACCCAGATGTGAAGTATAGAGTAAGATCACTCACTTCAACAATTGGATATTTTCCCAGCACAGAATTCTTCCTATATTGACACCATCTGATGTTGAGTTTGATAAATAAACTACCATATAAACCCTGAAAAAATAAAACATATTTCATGTACAATATTATATCAATAAAAAATGTTTTAGAAACTTGTAAATAATCAGAAATGTTTTCAAAAAGTCAACATTTTCATCCAGTATTAAAAGTTATAAACATACATGTTTTAGCTTCTTCCCAGACTTTTCCATATTCAGGTACACATTATGTGTTCCCTCCATGTAAAGTTACAAATTGCTATTTTCAAACACTCAAAATAAATTGAATCTTCGCAGCCAATGCAAGAAGCTCCACTTTAATCTCTGGTCGGCTTTTTTCTGATGGACTACGCATACCTTTATATATACTAGCTTGAAGAGTTGTATATTTATAAACCACTTTATTGAGTATCTATGACATACTGCTATTTCTAAGATAACAAAAACAACAAAACATATAACAACAAAAAATTAACACATCTAACAAAGAAAGTATTGTTTAATCAACTCTGTTTTTACACTGTAAAATTTGAATCCTTTACATATCAATGTCTTTCTATAATATAAATAAATTAATGTAGCAAGGTTTTTTACCCCTAATGCCCCGATTAAGATGAATGGAACAAGTTCTTGCAGGTACCATGGCTCATTGTATTCTATATAAAACATGACAAGATGATCGTTGCCAAATGGATTGATGGACCGTAAGACAAATGCTGCAGCCAATGCACAGAAGAATGACCGCCACAATGTCTTCAGTGGGAAATAATAACTGACCTGAAATATATAGATGATAAAATACTTTTAATTTCACATCTCTAAGAATTATGCATCATTATTTATTCTATATGTTAACCAGTATTTCATGTCCAGTAGCTTGCAATCACACTAGTTCTACAGTCGAAATCATTGTCATATTGGAAAATAATTTCTATCTTTACTAGACTCTTGGCCTGGAGGCTAAGAAATCATTTTTCTGAGTTGTCATGAATTCATGATTTCCATTGGTCAGTGTAGAGTCTGTGCCCATTTCTGACCAATCATCTCATATGAAAATATCAACCAACTTAGCTGAGGGATGTTGTGATGATTATAACACAGCAGCCCCTTGATAATACTCACCCCGTTACAACAATAATCTCAGTATAATGTTCATAGGACTTGACTCCGAATATAAAAAAAATTCATGCATATTTATATCTGATATAAGAGCCGTGTCACGACAAAACCAACATAATGGGTTTGCGACCAGCAAATCCATTATGTTGGTTTCGTCGTGACACGGCTCATAATGTTAGCTCAATGTGACAAATTTTTGTTTGTTTGTTTGTTTCATTTTACGCCTTTTCCCAACAGTATTTCAGTCATATAGGCGGGTAGTTTCCTAACCATCGTTCCTGGAGAGATACACCAGTACTAGACTACCTTCCTCCGCGCTAAACTACCAAAGCATCTTCAGGGGATCGAACCCATGCCAGAGAGGTAACTAGATTAGAAGTCAGGGACTTTAATCCCTCAACCAGAGAGGCGGTTCAATGTGACAAATACAATAAACAAAGTAATCATGACAAAGTAACCTCATTATAAAGTGGCGTAGAGGCCTTAGACCCCATCATGAGCATTAAAACATAGCTGCAGTGTATAATTAAGCATTTTTTACCACTCAGCCATAGATGCCTTCTCAAAATCAAAATTTTTATTTCTATCTTTACAAAATATGATAAATTTTTATTATTTAAATTCATTTATTAATCCTAATTAACAAGAGCACCAAATTATCACTTTTGACAAAAGTTCAAAGTTAACAAGAGCTGTCACAGGAGACAGCGAAGCTCAACTAATAAAATACTGGACGCAGTAAGGAGGACAAAACTATGAAAGAAAAATCAATTCTGTATAATTATGTATTAAGTTATAGTAAAAAAATAACATTTGTTAACATAAAATCCAAGATCAAGGCGAATAATTCTAGAAATAGTCATACTAGAGTAATGAACCTTGTCACACAACATGTGTGCAATGATAAGAAATATATATTTGAAGTTTGAAGTAGATAACTTAAAAAGTAAAGAAGTTATGATATTTCTTAAAGAAAATCCTAAGTTCAAAGAGAGATAAATCTGTAAATATTGCTTCAAGAGTTATGAACATTGTCACATAAAATGTAATTGATGATAAGGAATAAGTATTTGAAGTTTGTGGTAGATACCTTTAAAACTAAAAATGTTATAGTAAAAAATAACATTTTTCTAGTAAAATAATCTAAGTTTATGGGGAGATAATTCTTGCAATATTGGTGCTAGAGTTATGAACCTTGTCCCATAAGTTGTGGATGATGATAAGGTACATATATTTGAAGTATGAGGTTGATCCCTTAAGAAAATCAAATAAAGAAGTTACAGTAAAAAATAGTTTGTTTTTGTAGAAAATTCTAAGTTAAAGGGGAGATAAATCTAAAAATATTGGTGCTAGAGTTATGAACCTTGTCACATAAGATGTGGTTGATGATAAGGAACATGTATTTGAAGTTTGAAGTTCATACCTTAAGAAATGACCAAGTTATAGTGAAAAATATTTTACTGCACCAAAACTTTAATCTAAAATCTGGACGCGGACGCGGATGCGGACGCCGGGGCGAGTAGGACAGCTCTCCATATACTTCGTATAGTCGAGCTAAAAACTTCAAAAAATATTATAGTGTAATATTTTATTTGAAGTATGTTTAATGAGTATGTCACATGTAATAAGCCCAGATAAACGGCTATATGGTCCAATCTGGACAGCTCTCCATATCCTTCTTATATTCGAGTTAAAAAGGGGCATACCTCCAAGAATACAACTTAAAATTATAATCATTCTAATTCAGAATAATGTCCCTTTGTCTAAAAAAATACGCAAGGAATAAAAGCTGTATGTTCATAACTTTAAAAATCTGAGTTTGGCTACATAAAAATTATCAAAACAATGACGACAACATAATGACGCAGCAATCTTGACTTTTCTTCAAAACAGACAAGCTAAAAATACGCAATTTACAATGACCCTTTCTCTTTTATGTAAAATGATATAAATATATCTTTTACAGACCTAAAACCTTGATCTCATGCTGCAATTTGCAGGAATAAAATCTATTCTGCAAACAAAAAAAACTGAATTTCCTCCTTCAATCCAGCTGTTTATATTTCATTAAAACCATCAATATATCAAGATTATTTTGCCTGAGCTTGTTATGGTATCATTTTCATTTCCTCTAATGTTAATGACAAACACAGGGGTTTGTTTTTATAACTCTTCTTGTAACAACATTTATAATACCAGTTATTTGATATCAATAAATCAAAGGTTGCTACTCTACTTTGAATAGAAATAAAATTTGAGCCCCTTTGTGCAGATGGGAGATATCAACTGATAGGCAGAAAACAAACAAAAAAGCAAAGATAAACAAAAACCAAACAATTATGTGATTGTCATTTGCTACAAATATTTAATCCTTACCTCTTTCCTGGAAATCTTATTGACTTTTCTGTCATCATAAAATTGCAATTGTTCATTTAAAGCAGCAAAATTGTCCATTTTAATTAAGAAATAGAAAGTTAATAACATCTTAACAAGAAAAGAGCAAAAAAAAAATGTTTCATAATTCAGTGAATTATTTTTACTGCAGTATTAATTACATAGTTACATAGACGATCAAGTTTAAAGCGGAACACTTCTAGACTCATCATAATTCCATGATATTTTTTAATGTATTAAAAAGTAAAGTATTGTCAAGTGAACAAAGGATGTATTTTACACATTGCAAATGGTGCTTAAAATCAATGAAAATTACCAAAAATATATTAGAATATGCAAAACTAGCCCTTTTACTGTTTTAGCGATGCAGTAGAAATATGATAATATATGTTGGAAATCAGTCATTAATTGCATACTTATAACATGTAAAGTATTTATTAAATTGTGTATGATTTTACCTTTCTTAAAATCTTAGTACATTTTACACAAGGCTGATTCTCTTGAAATAACTTGGCTCATCTGGAGGCATGTCATGTTCAATACTGTTTAAAAGAGGACTTTAATTGTTAAATTTAAGTATGAAAATCCAGTTTGAATGTGTAGGCTGACTGGGTAGAAACTTCTACTTTCTATTAGCAATCTAGATAGACAGATAAACATGATTACTGTAACACCAATGGATATTCCTGTTTATAGTAAAGTACAGTAACGGAAACTATCAGTGATTTTCCTGCTTATTTAACAGGCCCCGATAAAAAGGCCTGTTCCCAATTGAAATTTTCTTTAAAATCGAGCAGTTTTCTCAAAAATCTGAACCTGCTTTTTTCTTCCCAAATTAGCAATTTTAGCAATATTTTTTCCCAAAATCAAGAGGTTAAGGCCCCTTCCCAGTTAAGTGAGGAAAATCACTGACTATATGCCTCATCAAAATGCTTCATGTGTTTTTTTGAAGCACAGTAAATTTTGCCGAGCATCCAACACTCACCTCCTCCAAACTGAAGAGTACTCCACCAATGGGAGCACCAAAGGCCACACTTACTCCTGCAGCAGACGCAGCTGATAACACCTGGAATATAGACATATATTGATAAATAATACAACAGTGAAGCCTTACCATGGTAAGATCCCAACTATTAAATCAAAGGATCAAGTGTTAAATCCTCTGACTAGAAAACCCAAAATCATGAATTCAAATTACACATAGTCATGAAGTTTATCTTGTTCTTGGGTTTAAAAGTCAAGCCCCTAATACTATAAAGGTCATCATTTAGCAACTTTCAAGCGGAGATCTCATGTGCCACTCTGTGAATTTCCTGAGACACAAGTAAGCACTTGAGTAAAGCTATCAACCTTCTGTAAGCTAGTTTTCAAGCTTCATCAAATGAAAGAATCCACTTTTCCTGGCAAGATTCAAGTCTACAGTGGTATAGACTTTATATACAAGTGTACAAGTTGTTTATATACATGTTTGTTCGTTTGTTTGATTGGGTTTTACATCACACCGACACAGTATAGGTCATTTGGAGACGTTCAGCTTTACTGGTAGAGGAAGACCTCAGGTGCCTTTCCGAGCATTATTTCAGGCACGAACGGGCACCTGAGTAGAACCAATGCTGTTCTGTTGGCTAGCTGGATAGCTTCCTCACAATAAAGAATCCAAAGTCCCTGTCGGGATTTGAACCCACAGAGGTTAGAGGCAGGTGGTTTGAAGTCAACAACCATATACAGGTGTAAAAGTTGCTTATTGTACATTGCATTTGTATTCATCACTGTAACTCTATTATTTATATTATATTAGTACCATGATATCCCTTTGGGCAGTCATTTCAAGCAGTATAGAAAGATTTTAAAATGTTAGCAATTTCTATAACAAAAGGCTATAATATCCTTAACCGTAGCTTGCTGTTGGCAACTGAATATACACATTAACTGGTGCAGACCAAGATCATCGGAAATCCATGCCGTCTGATGCCTGCACTGTTCGCTATTCAGTAAGTTTATATTTTAAAATCTTCCTTAAAAATGATGTATTGTTGTTTCCAGATTGAATGATGAACAAGTTCATTTAAGATATTTAGCATGGTAAGGGTTTAAGGTCTTATGTTTAACCTTCATTTCTTTGGTCATTCAGCTATCACTCCTATCTAAACAACACAATGTTTAAACTTGGTCTTTCTTCAATGCAAGATTCTATCTTCCTTGTAAACTATAACTATGACAAATTGAATATTCTTGGAAATAACAATTAACTGTCTACATTTTTCCTAGATATAAATATATACGTTTCAACTGGAGATAATAATATATGTTCCGGAGATATTCAGGATGATCTAAGAGCTAGAATCTGCGGCTATTATATCAATTTGTACTGCCACTACAAAACAGAGATGATAAATTGTCTGCAACACACTGCAGACTTAAAATGACTTATACATGGTTGCATTAAAACATTTTACAATGGTTTAGTGAAGAAAACATTCTTGTGACATTAAAACGAGAAATACAATGTACAAAGTTTCAGGTGCAACAAACATGTTTAAACAAAACTATATGTTATTAAGATATTAAACCTTCAGAAAAAAGAAAACAAATGTACTACCTCTCTCTTTTTAGCTTCATTACTGCCGTATTTCGGGAACAAGTACGAGAAAATGTTTCCACAGCAGCAGGCTACATGGACATACGGTCCTTCCTTGCCGAGGCTCAAACCTGCAGCTACTGACAGCATCATACCCACTGACTTGGTCAGCAGAGTCCATTTACCCAGATACCCACGAATAATGATTTGTTTGTTTGTCTTGGGTTTTACGTCACATCGACACAGTGTAGGTCATATCGCGACGTTCCAGCTTTACTGGTGGAGGAAGACCTCAGGTGCCCTTCCGTGCATTATTTCAGGCACGAACGGGCACCTGAGTAGAACCACCGACGTTCCGTAAGCTAGCTGGATAGCTTCCTCACATGAAAGAATCCAAAGTCCCTGTCGGGATTCGAACCCACAGTGGTGAGGGGCAAGTGGTTTGAAGTCAACGACCTTAACCACTCGGCCACGGACGCCCCACGAATAATGAATCCACTAAGTATGGTTTTAATCTGGAAAGTATAGAGAAGAGCTTATAATGTAGATACAGTTGTTTGATGCAGATCCTGGGTCCCATGGTAATAACTAGCAATTCAGGGATCGCAGGTTTGATCCCCCACTAAAGTATTACCAAACTTATGGTCTTGAGGATGAGATTCTAAAACCCAGGTATCGTGTATTCGGGTTCTTCACAGTACACATACAGGAACCAGCGTTTCTTTTATGTGTACTGTATACACATGGTTTCACAAATAATGCCCGTAGTAAATTCTGCAGTAACTTGTTGTCCACTTGGACTTATTGACAGCACTGTAGGTAAGAAGCAATTTGCAATGTCTTTATTACAGTTATTCTTAATATTTTACAAATTTACTTATCATACCTTAAGCAAGAGCTTTTATTTTCAACAGAAACTCTATGTATCCATCTCTTCACATATTTGACATACATGAATAAAAATCAAAAATCAAATTCTTTAATCACTTTGTTATATTTCTCCTATATTTTTTAAAAAGTATATATATTTTAAACTATGCCTAGAGATGTTTAAAGATGTATCATTTCTAAGAAATCAAATTAACTTTGAAGGTAACATAATTCATAAATCTTGACCTATCTTACCTCAGGAATACCAGAGCCACAAGCATAAGGAGCAACTACACGAACAAACATGGCTGCCGTGAAGGCGAACAAACAACCCCAGACGATGTAGAAGAAATATTTGATGATATATGACCCTCCTCCTGATGATTTTATACCCACCATTTCTGCCCAGGAATACCACTGAAATGACAAATTACTATCTGTTATATTAATACTGAAAATACAAACAAAATAGTTCCTTAATTATTTTTTTTTCATCTGTATTAAATAGCATAAGAAACGGAAATATTCAGAGTGAGAATATTTCTTTTTACTTCCACACCTTCACAACAAAGATTACCCCTTACCATGCTAAATACATGTATCTTTAATGGACTTGCCAATCTTTCATTCTGGACTAAACCATTCATCATACATGAATTAAGAAAACAATTCAAAGTATATACTGACTGTGATATAAATGTTTAAGACAAAATAAATTTTATCTGATTTAATTATCATGATACATTGTACTTCATTTCGGCAAATACCAAGCCTTCAACAGATACTCAGTTTAAACTAAATATACAATTACATTTTGCCAACCCTATGAGCTTGAGTATTGTCAATACTTGATAGTAAAACGATTGTCTGGATAATGTAGAAATTTCTAAGTTAAAAAAGGGCCATAATTCTGTCAATATTCATGATAGAGTTATGGCCCTTGGACAGTTACCTTCTATTGTGCTCTCAAATAAATGTATTAAGCTTCAACAAATTCAAAATCCCTTCAGAAGTTTTTGAGATACCAACTTGCATGCAAAAACTTAACCAAAGAGTAACGCCGACCCCTTGGTGATTACAATAGCTCTCCTTATTCTTCAAATAGTCAAACTATAAATAAACTGACGTACCTGTGAGCATCGTTCCTCGTCTAACGTTGTATCATTGGCCGACCAGCAGCACTGCTCTCTATTTAACCAGAATGCATCTCTACAAATACCTTCCTTAATATCAGACAACCATGATGCACCTATATCTATAAGACCCGCTAATGCACCTGTACAAATAATGATAATAATAATAATAATAAGGAAAAATTACAAGTGTTTCAATTTTTATTTTTTAATTTTACAAATCAATTTAACATTGTAAAATTAGCTATAGCCATAGGTAAACCTTGTTACTTAATTGAATAATTTTACCAATTCAATAAATTTTGAACCTAGGGGTTTTATTTGAACAAACTTGGTAGACATTCACAGGAAGATGTTTCATGTCAAATATCTTAGCTCTAGCACTTTCGGTTTTTTACAAGAAGATTTTTAAATTTTTTCTTTTGGTTTCTTAGGCAACAGGAATTAAGCACGGAATGGAATTCTTTGAACAAGTTTTTAAGGGCTTCATGCAAGGTACATTCCTGCTTAGTTTTAATAATATTATCCTACTGGTATATAAGGAGTTGTTGTTTTAAGGACGCACAACACGCTGGTGAAATTTATCTTAGTTATAAGAGAACAAAATGAAAGATAAGATGTAAGGTATTCTTGATTTTTTTAACAGTATGATATGGCCAAGGATTTCACAATTTAAGATGGAAGCATATTCAACCCAGATACCTTTCTTTAACAAATTATACCCCTTTTTAAACTGACTGAACATTTGATCTTTGCTACATATATGTCATGTTTTTTATATACATGCATAATGTGTTTATGATACCATATGTGTCATCATTCTTTCACACTTTTAATTTTGAAAACAATTCATGTATCTCACAAATTCAAGATGTTTTTTATGATAAAAAAAATCAAAAGGTATGTAACTTTAATTAAATTTAAGTTCTTTACAAATGCCCAGATGTCACACAATAAACTTAGTTCTAGATAAAAAAAACTGCCTCAAGATATCAGCCATTAAATCTACGTAAAATAATATTTGATTCTTCCATATAAAATCACTACAAGTAACCTACTCAATTACAGGCTGTTTAAAACTCATCTGTTCAAAATAAAAAAAACTCCAGAAGATGGTAATGTTAAAATTGTTATTTTTGACTGAGCTTCTAAATTCGAAATTTGCTGTAGATCTTCAGTACGATTATTTCTCAAATATTGTTACATTATTCTGGTTTGGTCACTGTTAATTGAACCATATCAGCAGGGTATAAAGTACCAATTCAGCAGGGCATAAAGTATCAATTCAGCAAGACATGAAGTACCAATTCAGCAGGCATCAAGTACAAATTCAGCAGGGCTTAAAGTACCAATTCAGCAGGGTATAAAGTACCAATTCAGCAGGGCATAAAGTACCAATTCACCAATAACATGAAGCACCAATTCACAGTGCATAAAGTACCAATTCGGCAGGGCATAAGGTATCAATTCAGCAAGGCCTGAAGCACCAATTCAGCAGGGCATCAAGTACCAATTCAGCAGGGCATAAAGTACCAATTCACCAAGACATGAAGCACCAATTCACAGTGCATAAAGTACCAATTCAGCAGGGCATAAAGTATCAATTCAGCAAGACATGAAGTACCAATTCAGCAGGGCATCAAGTACAAATTCAGCAGGGCTTAAAGTACCAATTCAGCAGGGTATAAAGTACCAATTCAGCAGGGCATAAAGTACCAATTCACCAAGACATGAAGCACCAATTCACAGTGCATAAAGTACCAATTCGGCAGGGCATAAGGTACCAATTCAGCAAGACATAAAGTACCAATTCAGCAGGGCATCAAGTACCAATTCAGCAGGGCTTAAAGTACCAATTCAGCAGGGCATAAAGTACCAATTCAGCAGGGCATAAAGTACCAATTCAGCAGGGCATAAAGTACCAATTCAGCAGGACATAAAGTACCAATTCAGCAGGGCATAAAGTACCAATTCAGCAGGGCATAAAGTACCAATTCAGCAGGGCATAAAGTACCAATTCAGCAGGGCATAAAGTACCAATTCAGCAGGGCATAAAGTACCAATTCAGCAGGGCATAAAGTACCAATTCAGCAGGGCATTAAGTACCAATTCAGCAGGGCATTAAGTACCAATTCAGCAGGACATTAATTACCAATTCAGCAGGACATAAAAAGCCAATTCAGCAGGGCATAAAGAATCAATTCAGCAGGGCTTAAAGTACCAATTCAGCAGGGAATAAAGTAACAATTCAGCAGGGCATAAAGTACCAATTTAGCAGGTCATAAAGTACTTATTCAGCAGGGCATAATCTGCCTCCGTGGTCGAGGGGTTAGAGTCGTTGACTTCTAATCCAGTTACCTCTCTGGCATGGGTTTGATCCCGGGGGATGTTTGGTAGTTTAGCATGGAGAAAGGTAGTCTAGTACTGGTGTAACTCTCTAGGAAGATGGTTAGAAAACTACCCGCCTATATGACTGAAATACTGTTGGGAAAAGGCGCAAAATGAAACAAACAAACAAACAAGCGGGGCATAAAATGCCAATTCAGCAGGGCATAAAATACCAATTCAGCAGGGCATAAAGTACCAATTCAGCAGGGCATAAAGTACCAATTCAGCAGGGCATTAAGTACCAATTCAGCAAAGCATAAAGTACCAATTCAGCAAGGCATAAAGTACCAATTCAGCAGGGCATAAAGTACCAATTCAGCAAGGCATAAAGTACCAATTCAGCAGGGCATTAAGTACCAATTCAGCAGGGCATTAAATACCAATTCAGCAGGGTATAAAGTACCAATTCAGCTGGGCATAAAGTACCAATACAGCAGGGCATTAAGTACCAATTCAGCAGTACATAAAGCACCAATACAGCAGGGCATAAAGTACTAATTCAGCAGTACATAAAGCACCAATACAGCAGGGCATAAAGTACCAATTCAGCAGACTGTGCATAAAGTACCAATTCAGCAGTACATAAAGTACCAATACAGCAGGGCATAAAGTACCAATTCAGCAGGGCATAAAGTAATTCATAGGCAAGCAACTACTCGTTTAGGGATCATATTATCAACTTCTTGGACAGTTTCTCTTTATTCTGGCTGTAATGATCTAACAAGGTTCCATGTTGATTTGTTAGCCAATTATTACCTGAATAAATGCTGTATTTTACCAAGCCTTTGAGGTTGTCTAAGTAAATTACCTCACCCTTTAAACAGTCTGTTATTGATTTTGTCATTCCAAGTTTCACATTTTCACAGCCATTCTTACTTGTGATAACAATTCTCTGCAGTAAGGTATAACCTTTTTATATTCAAGTTCTGTGAGTTTTCATGTAGAGGAGTAAAGCGCCATGAACAAAATTGGTATTGCATATTTGAGACTCATGCAAAACACAAAACTTTGTAGTGCCCACCAAGTTCCCTTTCTATCCTAGCTGTGTTAGTTTTTTTTCTAGCATTGATAGTTCTTAGAAGTGTTTATGTCTTGGAGGCAAATTAAAGAAATTATATCAATTTCCATATTGTTTTTATGTCTCACACACAAATTAAAATTATTATAATATAAACTTTCCAATTTTTATGCCGAGAATGATTCCTTGCATTATTTGGGTTGACAAAGGTGGCATTAAAGCATTAGATAACTGGCTGGAAAACTCATGAAAGATGAAAATAGTAAATTCCCTATATGAAAATTAAAATTTGAAATTAATAAAGGTAAATAGCTGACACTCATTGTCTAGATTGCTACAGGGATGAGTTATCAAGTTACTGTTTAACCCTTTACCTCATATATACGCGAAACAATGCACTTTCGACCCCCCCCCCCCTTTTTATGCCTGAAATAGTGTCCTATTTGGGCCCCAAACACATGTTTTCGTTTGAGAAATGTTGCTAAAAAAAGTGAGCACTATTTTGGGGGGTTTGAAGGGGGGAGGAGAAAATTTTGGACTTGTGAGAGGCTAAAAATGACCCCAGGTCGATCATAAGGTAACGTGTAACCAACGCTGAAAAGCCTTTGACTCTATCTCAATCCCTTGAGAAGTTGCAGCACTTTGAAATAAATTTTGATGGAAAAATTCGAGGCAAAATATTGATTTTTGGCAATTTTGAGATGTCCCCTCGTTGCCATGGTAACAGGAAATTTAAGACTGAGCATGTCGTTACAAAGGCAATGATCCAGTCAACATTTGTGCCAAGTTTGATTAGTATTGAAGCATTTTTCATAGTTTCATAGCAGTTTGAACTTGTAACAGGAGGCTTTTCAGTGAAAACGGCCATTTTTCACAATATGCTCATGAGGGAAAGGGTTAAGGGTACATATTTTAGACAAAATGAAACCCTGCAAATTAATTTCAAAACCTCAACATCTGCTGCACAGCAGAATGAAATAAATTATTCATTTAACAGAACTATATTTTGCATGTCATGACTCAAGGTCAGACATTTTTACTTCTGATTTCTAAAAGATATTTACCTTTACCATTTTTGTTTAAATTTTCTATTGCTAACAAGAGCGATCAGTAATCACATGTGTCGCCTCATGATGGCCAATTTCATGTTGGGACAAATTTTGTGACAGACGGACAGACAGACGGACAGTGCACAACTAGACTTGGTACTGATCATTCCTGTAAAGTTTGGATAAAATTGCACCTGTAGTTTATGAGGAGTAGTCCGGACAAGCTTTTGCGTATCTGGCAACACACAGAAAAAAAACACATTTTTATCAAAGGGCCATAACTCGGCCAAAAATCATTCAACCGGAAAACCCGTGCAATATGCGCAAGGACTTGAGCTACAGATCAATCCTGTAAAGTTTCATTGAAATTGCATTAGTGGTATAAGAGAAGTAGTCCGGACAAACTTTAAAAATAAAAATTATTAAAGGGCCATAACTCAAACAAAAATCATTGAACCGGAAAATGCTGACAATATGCACAACTAGACTTGGTACTGATCATTCCTGTAAAGTTTGGAGGAAATTGCACCAGTAGTTTATGAGGAGTAGTCCGGACAAGCTTTTGTGTATCTGGCAACACACAGAAAAAAAACACCTTTTTATCAAAGGGCCATAACTCGGCCAAATATCATTCAACCGGAAAACCCGTGCAATATGCGCAAGGATTTGAGCTACAGATCAACCCTGTAAAGTTTCATTGAAATTGCATTAGTGGTATAAGAGAAGTAGTCCGGACAAACTTTAAAATTAAAAATTATTAAAGGGCCATAACTCTGACAAAAATCATTGAACCGGCAAATGCTGACAATATGCACAACTAGACTTGGTACTGATCATTCCTGTAAAGTTTGGATGTAATTGCACCAGTAGTTTATGAGGAGTAGTCCGGCCAAGTGACGGACGGACGGACAGACGGACGTACCAACTTTTGATATTTAAGAGGTAAATCAGCTCATTAACTACACCTGGACCAAAGTCCATAAGCAAAATCAGCTCATAAAATCAAACAAGAGGGCCATGATGGCCCTGAGGTCGCTCACCTGTATATAGGCCCCCCCACCCCCGTGCCAATTTTTACCCAAGGGCTTTTATTTGTTTATTTGAACAGACTTGGTAGACACCCATAAGAAGATGTTTCATGCTAAACATCTAAGTTCTAGCTCATTGGGTTTTTTAAAAGAAGATTTTTAAAGTTTTTACTATACACATATAGTTAAAAACAATGACACCCCTGGGGCAGGGCCAGTTTTGACCCCCAGGCTTTTATTTGAACAAACTTTGTAGATATTTACTTAAAGATGTTTCATGCTTAATATCTAAACTCTAGCTATTTAGGTTTTTTCAAAGAAGATTTTTAAGTTTTTGCTATACACATATAAGGAAAATCAATGACCCCCCGGGCGGGGCCAGTTTTGACCCCAGGGCTTTTATTTGAACATACTTGGTAGACACCCATTAGAACATGTTTCATGCTAAATATCTTAGCTCTAGCTCTTTGAGTTCTTTAAAAGAAGATTTTTTAAGTTTTTACTATATACATATAGGGAAAATCAATAACCCCCTGGGGCGGGTCAATTTTGACCCCAGGGCTTTTATTTGAACAAACGTGGTAGACACTCACTAGAAGATGTTTCATGCTTAATATCTTAGCTCTAGCTCTTTGGGTTCTTTAAAATAAGATTTTTTAAGCTTTTACTATATGCATATAGGGAAAATCAATGACCCCCTGGGGCGGGGCCAATTTTGACCAAAGGGCTTTTATTTGAACAAACTTTGTAGATATTCACTAGAAGATGTTTCATGCCAAATATCTAAGCTCTAGCTCTTAGGGTTCTTTAAAAGAAGATTTTTTAAGGTTTTACTATATGCATATAGGGAAAATCAATAACCCCCCGGGGCGGAGCCAATTTTGACCCCAGGGCTTTTATTTGAACAAACTTGGTAGACATTCACTAGAAGATGTTTCATGCCAAATATCTAAGCTCTAGCTCTTATGGTTCTTTAAAAGAAGATTTATTAAGTTTTTACTATATGCATATAGGGAAAATCAATGACCCCCCAGGGCGGGGCCAATTTTGACCCCAGGGCTTTTATTTGAACAAACTTGGTAGACATTCACTAGAAGATGTTTCATGCCAAATATCTAAGCTCTAGCTCTTATGGTTCTTTAAAAGAAGATTTTTTAAGGTTTTACTATATGCATATAGGGAAAATCAATGACCCCCCGGGGCGGGGCCAATTTTGACCCCAGGGCTTTTATTTGAACAAACTTTTTAGACACTCACTAGAAGATGTTTCATGCCAAATATCTTAGCTCTAGCTCTTTGGGTTCTTTAAAAGAAGAAGAGTTTTTAAGTTTTTACTATATGCATATAGGGAAAATCAATGACCCCCTGGGGCGGGGCCAATTTTGACCCCAGGGCTTTTATTTGAACAAACTTGGTAGACACCCACTAGAAGATGTTTCATGCCCAATATCTAAGCTCTAGCTCTTAGGGTTGTTTAAAAGAAGATATTTAAAGATTTTTCTTTCGGTTGCCATGGCAACCAGAGTTCTGCATGGAATTAAATTCTTTGAACAATTTTTAAAGGTGACCACCAAAGGAACATTCCTGTGAAGTTTGGATGAAATTGGCTCAGTGGTTTATGAGGAGATGTCATTTAAAGCAAAAAAAGTTTACGGACGACGGACGGACGGACGACGGACGGACGCCGGACGAAAAGCGATCACAAAAGCTCACCCTGTCACTTTGTGACAGGTGAGCTAAAAAATAGCTCTTAATTTGAATTTTATGAGCTTTTGTTCTTTATTTAACTACGGAATGAAGCTCATAAATATCAAATGTTTGCTCGGACGGACGGACAGACAGACGGACAGACAGACGACGGAGAAGTGATCCCTATATGTCGCCACTACTCCGTAGAGGCGACACAAAAAAATGCCTATTACTTTGGGAAATGTTAATGTTGTAACAACAAATATATTTGGAAAAAAATATTTCAAAACCTATTAAAACATTCACTTTTTTCAGACAAAACTTCACTCATGTTTATAAATGTTGTTCTTTTTTTCTTTATTTTAGTTTTTATATCATGGAGGCAAAATTGTAGATATATGTATACATGTATTTCAATTTCCACACAACTTTATTTACACATTTCATGTTGTTTTGTTTTTATGTCTCATACACAAATTTACAAGAAAGAACTGGGATACTGTATAATGCTTAAATACATTCTTCTCTTAAACCTCCAATTAAATTTTCAAACAAATTTCTAAACATATTAATAGCTTTCTTGCATTTTCAAAGCCATTATTTGCCTTTTTAAACCTCAGTCTAATTAGCAGATTTGTTAAAAATCTCTCAAGTCAATTCTTCAGCCGCTGTTTTATTTTCAACTTCATTTAATGATTTATACAGCAACTTAAAAAACCTTGTTGTCATTGAATCTATTTTATTTTCTCACAATACTGTCAAATAAAAACCGCCATTGGCAGCAGAATGCCTGATTTCTATTGACGAGAGAGCTGACACTTAAAACAGCCATTTTATCCCCTAATAATCTCATGGGGCGGCCATTGCTCGCACAGAAAAGGTAATAAATTTGAATGAGAGTCTGAGATTTTGATGAAGAATGTAGTAAATTAGTTAAATGCGATAAACACAAGTCTCTAATCTAATCCTGAAATTGCTTCTGCTATTTTAAGGCAAGTTTTCTTTCATATTTCAGGGAATTTCAGTTCAGATGAAGCCATATTAGTACGTCCTGTCCCTGCTGATTTTGTGAAATGGACTCTTGTCTTACATTAAACATGGAATGGTTCATTTTTTTACTTTCAGGATTTTAATGATCAAAATATTCAAAATGAGGGATGTTTAGGGTGGCCTGACTGTGATGGTCAGACTGGACTAATTAACTGCAGACTTACACCCTTTTCTGTCTATCCTGGGAAAATGTCCCTCAGAATTTTCTTTTTTCAATACAAGGTGTAAAATGTATAAAATGACTTAAGGACATTGAAAGGCTGGCTTGACTAAAAGGAAGGCACATTAGGGTGTCATGTTCCTTGCCAACATTCCAAGAGTTAACTTTGTAATAAACACTTAAATAAGCATATTTATCACACTCCTGTGCCGTTTTGCGGCTTCCGTAAAAATATTTGTATTGCACAGCCTTGCATATATTCTGATTTGACATCATTTTCGTTATACAAACATAATGTAACGATGCGCTAAATGTTAGCATAACAGTATAGGCACGTCATTGAAATTTTTTTCCACTTAAAACAGTCTTTATTATGGGTATGTGATAAATAGAATATTATATTTGTGTAGGTTCATTACTGAATTTATTGAACTTGTTGAATAGAATAATATTATACTTGCCAGAGGCTTGCATAATATAATTTTACTCAACCTATTCAATAAATCCAGTACTGTACTTACACTCATTCAATATCCTCTATATAACATGTATGTTAAACAATGAAGTTCATACCTGCAGCAATACCCACAAGGAGAACACACATCCAACCTGACCACGCATCATGAGCTCCCTTGAGATACTCGAAGCAGCCATCTTGTTTTTTCTTCACCACCTGTCTGTGTCGCATACGGTCTCGCGCCACATCTCGTAACCAGTCTATTGTGTGGAAATCTTCATACTGTCCTATACCTGGTGGCAGGTCATCCAATGTGTCCATAAGACTTGAAGATCCTAAAATAAGACAAAAAAGTTGGATCAATCTCTTAGGGAGAGATAAAACTTAAGAAATATAAATAACAAGTAAAGGTTATGCATTATTCACCATCAAAATGACATTTTGCATGTTTTTATTCAGTTTGTACTATTCTAGCATGATTTTTACTATTCTTACAACAATACTAATTTACCTTGTCCATGCTGTATCATAACTCAATCCATATGAAATATTTGCTTCTTGATATCATAACTAAAACTATATTACATGTTTACTTCTTTTATCATAACTTTACCTTTATGAATTGTTGGCTTCTTATATCATCACTAGATACATATGAAATGTTTACTTCTTGTATCATAACTAAATCTATATGAAATGTTTGCTTCTTGTATCATAACTAAATCTATATGAAATGTTTGCTTCTTGTATCATAACTAAATCTATATGAAATGTTTGCTTCTTGTATCATAACTAAATCTATATGAAATGTTTGCTTCTTGTATCATAACTAAATCTATATGAAATGTTTACTTCTTATATTATAACATTATCTTCATGAAATGTTTGCTTCTTTTATCAGCAATCAAATCCATATGAAATGATTACTGTGTACATCATAACCAACTCTATGTTTGATTCCTCATGTTACAAAACTTTAATTGGAGCAAAATTTGTTGACACACTAGAACATGCTCTAATGTAACTGTGCTTCAATGCATTAAAAATCACACTTTTCAAGCCTAAATTTATAAAATCATATCAATAATTGTTTACTTCTTGCAAAAACCAAAATTTAATTTTAATATATTTCATTTTAAAGCTGACAGCAGCGATTTGTCAATGCAATAATTTTTTCCGCCAGAGCATACAAATCTGAAGATTTTACTGCTTTTAATGAAGCAGAAATCTCTTGTTTCTGTCAGACTTCTTACGGTAACAATTCTGAGACGTATATCATTATCTTTATTCTTATCTCATAGATAAATCAATATATTCATTGTCCAAGTAAATACATGCTTCTTAACCTGCTAAATTTTTCGAATTTTAATATCAAAATATGAAAACGGAGCTACCAATTTAACATTATAGAGCCACAGTTAGACTGCACAAATGTCCTTGAAGAAAGCAGTGATCAATCCATTAAAACATTGAGTTATATGAAGTAAGTGGTTTAATCTTTGTTTCCGGCAAAAACTAATATGAACAATTACTAAGGGAGATTAATTATTTGAGTTTAAAGCTAACAATTGAGTGAAATCCATTCAAGAAGAAACGTGTTAACCAGCTAATAACACCCTGCACAAATATGGGGTGGGTCTATTATTATAACAGCTTGTTCATTGCCTTTTTAAGTTGCAATGCACAACAACATGTGACATCAGTGTTTAACTGTTAACCAACAGGAATCATAATCAAGTTTCCTTTGCCATCAGTATAGAGCTAGGTCAGCCTGCACATCCATGCAGTAATTCTGGCAAGGCTTTACACTGTTGGCTGCCGGGTTTGGGTTTGGTGCCTTCTTGATGCCCTACTTGGGTGTGTCGGGGGACTGCGTCCTGTGAACGTTGCCTTTACCTTGTTGATCTTTCTTCTTGATTTTTGACTTTAAATTTTCATCTTGATATCCCTGGACAGTCACAAAAATGAATGCTTGCCAAGTCCAAGAAATTCAGCAGAGTAAGGGTTAACATAACATCTGGGAGAATAATCTTTCTATTGGTATAGCAAGGGATCAAACTTTCCATCCCTGCAATTGTATCAAGACAATTATCTAAAACCAATGGATCATGCACCAGTCTGATCAATATTTCCCGACCCTGTATGATCAATACTATAAATATTAACAGCATAATGTCTTTTATACTAGCTGATTATGACAGCGAACTATTTCCGCCTGAAAAAATAATGTTCCCAAACGAGCTTGCGGCACTCTTCACAGAAAAGACGTAAAATTTTACATTTCTTCTCCTCACGAGAAAGGAAACATGAAACCAAGTGAGCAACGAATTAATGTGATTTTACCAGGACAATGGGCAGGAATATAAACACCATTAGCAATAAACTACAGACAAGAGATTTTATTTCAGTGGAAAACTCAAGTTTATTACTAAAGGAAATGTATTAGCGGCTATTCTGGTTACCATCCATGTTACCGAGAAGCTCTATATTATAGTGTGCCTTTAACTTCCTATAACATATCTCTATATTCCTTAGCAACAACATACAAGCACTAAATAACATACGTTCTATACCTTTCTATAACATTGCTTAATAACATTTTATTCTGTCTGAAGACATCACTTAATAATGTTATATTCTATATGCTCTCAGAACCCTTACTTAATAACAGTTCATTCAATTCAACTCAGAGATCATGCAAAGGGATGATTGCTTTTACTTTAAGATTGTACTTCAATGCTTTAAAGAAACTTTTATGAATTTTAGATAATTGCTTTGTTTTTCCTTTTTTTTTTTTTAGTTGGGTTTTTAGTTTAACTGACATTTTTAGTTATGGTCTGACATTCACAATACTAGTGAAGGAAGACCTCAAATGACTTTCCATGTATTATTTCAGTGACTAGTGGGCACCACCAACATTCCGTAAGCAAACTTTTAAAGTAAAAAATGGGATTCATACCCATAGTGGTGAAGGGCTTGTTAAAAATCCCTGCAATCTGACAAGACTGACTATACCAGCCTGAGCATCCCTCTGGCCTGACCAGACTCTATGTCAGTCTGAAATGCCTACAATCTGACAAGACTCTAGGCCATCCTGAACATCACTGAAGTCTGACCAGACTTTAGGTCAGTCTGTACATCTCTGAAGTCTGACCAGACCCAATCCAGCCTGAACATCACTGCCGTCTGACCAAACTTTAGGCCAGCCTTATAATCTCTGAAGTTTGACCAGACTTGAACATCTATGAAGTCTGACCAGACCCTATGTCAGCCTAAAATGCCTGCAGTCTGACCAGACTCTATGTCAGTAGCCTGAAATGCCTGCAGTCTGACCAGACTCTATGTCAGTAGCCTGAAATGCCTACAGTCTGACCAGACTCTATGTCAGCCTGAAATGCCTACAGTCTGACCAGACTCTATGTCAGTAGCCTGAAATGCCCACAGTCTGACCAGACTCTATGTTAGCCTGAATGCCTACAGTCTGAGTAGACTCTATGTCAGCCTGAAATGCCTACAGTCTGACCAGACTCTATGTCAGTAGCCTGAAATGCCCACAGTCTGACCAGACTCCATGTCAGCCTAAATTGACCACGGTCGGACCAGACTCTATGTCAGCCTGAAATGCCTACAGTCTGACAAGACTCTATGTCAGCATGAAAATGCCTGCAGCCTGACCAAAACTCTATGTCAGCCTGAAATGCCTACGGTCTGACAAGACTCTATGTCAGCCTGAAATGCCTGCAGTCTGACAAGACTCTATGTCAGTAGCCTGAAATGCCTGCAGTCTGACCAGACTCTATGTCAGCCTGATGCCTACAGTCTGTCAGCCTGAAATGCCTACAGTCTGACCAAACTCTATGTCAGCCTGAAATGCCTACGGTCTGACAAGACTCTATGTCAGCCTGAAATGCCTACAGTCTGACAAGACTCTATGTCAGCCTGAAATGCCTACGGTCTGACAAGACTCTATGTCAGCCTGAAATGCCTACAGTCTGACAAGACTCTATGTCAGCCTGAAATGCCTGCTGTCTGACAAGACTCTATGTCAGCCTGAAATGCCTGCAGTCTGTCAGCCTGAAATGCCTACAGTCTGACCAAACTCTATGTCAGCCTGAAATGCCTACAGTCTGACAAGACTCTATGTCAGCCTGAAAGCCTACAGTCTGACAAGACTCTATGTCAGCCTGAAATGCCTGCAGTCTGACCAGACTCTATGTCAGCCTGAAATGCCTGCAGTCTGACCATGTCAGCCTGAAATGCCTACAGTCTGACCAGACTCTAAGCCAGCCTGAACATCCCTGAAGTCCGACCATATTGTACATTATATTCAGCACAATTTAATTATTTTCATACTTTAATCCCTTGATATATCTATCAACTTTTCCACAATCAAAACAGATCAAATCTATTATACAAATTCAGCAAGGGTCTAAAGCTTACAGCCTATATAAATAGGATCAAGTGAAGTGGCTGACAGGTTTTAACAGTAAATGCACAAACAAACATTACCATCCTACTTCAGCTCACGTTATATCTCAAACAGAGCTTTAAACAGATCTCTATTTGATAGTGTTTGATTTCCTAGAATAGCAGACTTCTGTGAACTGGAGAGCTCTTCAGCAAATTCTGTACATGACAGATTGCAATATAACACTGTAATCAGTCAGTCTACCAGGAAAATGTATTAACAACAACTAAATCTTGATTTCCTTGAATTCTTTAAGACCACTTTGTCAGGGATTTCTTTTTCTTGCCTAGTATGATTTTGAACACTTTTTTGTCAGTTTTGTATGTATATCTTACTAGCTTTGACTTATTTTCGGTAAAATGTGTGCTTTTAATTCCATGTAAACATGCAAAACTTTGAAAAAATTTGACACATAACTAATATATACATTTTTATAAAGAATAGATATGGGGGAAAAGTTACATTGAGAAAATCAACTATTTGAAGTTTGACACATGTATAGAAGTTCTACTGTACATGATCTTCCATGTTTGAAATGAAATACATATTTAACTCTTAAAATACTGTAAATTTAAAGAATTTTTCCAAGCTTCCACTTCTGGAACTGGTCATTATCAATTTTAGGGATATCATATCAAGATGAAAATTTAAAAAGTAAGTCAGCGAAGAGCATCAACTGCACAAGTATATTTTTACAACTTACATTCAGCCAAACCAACTTGTCAAATTCCTTTCCACTAATCCTCATTAAGATTCCAACTCAAAACTTCCAGTATCTCTTTCCCTCCCACAAACCTTACAACACCATCGTGTTAATCATAATTCATAATAAAACCAAGTCATTTAAACTTATTCCATTAAAAGACT